CACAACAGCACCCTGAATAGAACAGCGTCCTCACACAACAGCACCCTGTATAGAACAGCTTCCTGGCACAACAGCACCCTGAATAGAACAGCGTCCTCACACAACAGCACCCTGTATAGAACAGCTTCCTGGCACAACAGCACCCTGAATAGAACAGCGCCCTCACACAACAGCACCCTGAATAGAACAGCGTCCTCACACAACAGCACCCTGAATAGAACAGCTTCCTCACACAACAGCACCCTGAATAGAACAGCGTCCTCACACAATAGCATCTTGTAAACTCCCTCAACATAACAGCACCATTAAACACACAACGATTGAGATAGTGTTGGAAAAGATTACAGACGACAGAAGAATGTCAACAGCCCTTTAAATTCTTGGCTCAGAATTCTAAAGTTGGCGATGTGGAAGCTGAAATTACATTAGTACTTTTGAAACCTTGGAAACTGTATGAATGGCATACTTGATAGTTTACGTCTACTTCAAGAATAATTGTCTTATTAGTTTAATGATAGCTTTATTTAAGAAGAAACCACATTTCGGACAGTAAAGTCTGGAAAACCTGGCTAAAATAGTTTTTATCTAAGCTGACATGCGCAGTTTTACCTGAATCTCCCTTAGCTCTGAGAGCAGGACTGGTTCAAGATAGGTGAAAACGTTTGAACCTAATTTCATGCTTATTTACGCCGTCTGTGGGAGACATTCATTTCGACATGAAATAATATTGTTGGCTGCGCTGATGTGAAGTGCTCTATCAATTATTCCCTGCATGTTGAAAGTTCGTCATTTCCAACAGGGAAAAGATGGTCTAAAATAAACGACCAGGTTAAAGGTCATGGTCGATCTAGATGAGTTTGCACGTGGTACACGTGAACTCGAGGTTCAGGTCGACCTGACCGTTTGTTTACCCGTAACCTGGTCCCTGACACGTGACCTTGGCTGTTGTGTTATCATTGACAGAATCATAATGAAGCTGAGAATCATCACTATAGAGAGGCAACGGGAGCCTAAATAGCTTGTTTAATGATTGGAAACACTATTTTTGTTAAGTCGTTAATCAGCATGTGGTGTTATCTCCGTATGTGCATCTTTCATGTTCTTTACTCGGATGATATCAACACACCCAACTCTACAGTGTTTTTAACACACCCAACCCTGCAGTGTTTCAAAACACCCAACCCTGTAATAAGTGGGTTGTCTCAACGCATGAACCTCTACAGATAAGCGAGAATGAACTGCAGGCCAGATATGCAAGTCAATGAGATTCTAGAACCGTGTGTTTTGATGACGGCACATTTCTGAGGCGCAGTTCTGTGGAGAAGTTTGGTTCGGGGACAATTATAAATACATGAAGCCTTATTAATGGCTGGGCTGTTTTCATCGCCACTCGTCACGTTCATGGATTCCCTGGCGGCTCACGTTCGGTGCCCTGTCATGGCGGCTCTGGTTTGGTGCCCTGTCATGGTGGCTCACGTTTGGTGCCCTGTCATGGTGGCTCATGTTTGGTGCCCTGTCATGGCGGCTCACGTTTGGTGCCCTGTCATGGCGGCTCACGTTTGGTGCCCTGTCATGGTGGCTCACGTTTGGTGCCCTGTCATGGTGGCTCACGTTTGGTGCCCTGTCATGGCGGCTCTGGTTTGGTGCCCTGTCATGGCGGCTCTGGTTTGGTGCCCTGTCATGTTGGCTCACGTTTGGTGCCCTGTCATGGTGGCTCACGTTTGGTGCCCTGTCATTGCGGCTCACGTTTGGTGCCCTGTCATGTTGGCTCTGGTTTGGTGCCCTGTCATGGTGGCTCACGTTTGGTGCCCTGTCGTGGCGGCTCTGGTTTGGTGCCCTGTCATGTTGGCTCACGTTTGGTGCCCTGTCATGGTGGCTCACGTTTGGTGCCCTGTCATGGTGGCTCACGTTTGGTGCCCTGTCATGGTGGCTCTGGTTTGGTGCCCTGTCATGTTGGCTCACGTTTGGTGCCCTGTCGTGGTGGCTCTGGTTTGGTGCCCTGTCATGGTGGCTCTGGTTTGGTGCCCTGTCATGGCGGCTCACGTTTGGTGCCCTGTCGTGGCGGCTCACGTTTGGTGCCGTCATGGTGGCTCTGGTTTGGTGCCCTGTCATGGTGGCTCTGATTTGGTGCCCTGTCATGGCGGCTCACGTTTGGTCCCCATTCATGGTGGCTCACGTTTGGTGCCCTCTTATGGCGGCTCACGTTTGGTGCCCTGTCATGTTGGCTCTGGTTTGATGCCCTGTCATAGACATAATGCCCTTGTATTTATGTTTGTGTAAATTGTCTTCGTATTAATTGGTGTTAAGGTCTCTGATAATCGTCGGTACAGTTGACCACAGATGGAAAATGCCAGCCTAATATTAAAGTTGTATTGAATTAAACCACGTGGCACCTTGTTTTACGTAATAATGTTTATTGTTGGCAACCTAAACTAGTGGTGTTTTTTTTTTCTTGTGATGCTGGCGTGTGTGGTATCACTGAATGCATGTGTAGACAGTGTGCCATGAATGTTTTATTGAAAACTTTTGACAGAGAGTGTGAGGTATCACTTTTGACAGAGTGTGTGAGGTATCACTGCCTTGTGCCGACCCACAACAGTGGTGTCAAAACATTCTATAAATAGCCAGAGGTCAACGCCACCTCATCCGTCTACATTATGCTGCTAAGCTTTTGGTGACGGCTGACCAATAAAAAACCAGCGTGGGGTTGTTTTTTAAACTGCCCCCATGTTTGTTTTTCTTCACTGAAATGTTTCAAAAGCGAGCTGTTTACGGATTCAGTCTCCGCCGGCCTTTCGCATTTTAACACAGAAGTGTGACGTCATCGCATGGCTCATACCCTTACAGAAAACAGCCCGTTTCAACTGTATTATCATCATATTTAATATTGATAAGTCATGTTGTGGTACTACCGTCCTATTGTTGACAATATGCAAATACATCTTCTATAAGGGAAATAAGTTTAGCCCCACGTGACTGCTAGTCAGAATCATGTTTTCCAAACTATGTCATCTTAATAGTTGTCTGAAACTACGTCATCACATTGGCTGTCTGAAACTACGTCATCACATTGGCTGTCTGAAACTACGTCATCACATTGGCTGTCTGAAACTACGTCATCTCAGTAACTGTCTGAAACTACGTCATACTAGTGCAGTGGAAACTACGTCATACTAGTGCAGTGGTTCTTAACCTTTTTGGAAGTACCGAACTCCGCTAGTTACATATGCGCATTCACCGAACCCTTCTTAATAATTCGATCTTCCGCACTGACAAAATTCGATCGTGAATAATATGAGTCGTGTGTGGGCCTTGACCTCCGCCGAACCCCTGAGATTGACTCATCGAACCCCTGGGGTTTGAACGTTATGCCTGTTGCATGATTCCGGGGTGCCACCAAATAATTTGTCTTTGTTATCGTTGGACTCGGACAGCCAACATCAAATCCACGGTCTAGTTCGTCGCACTTCAGCACCTCTGTTTGTTATTTTGTTTCTGTCCTGAAGTTGTTGTATAATGTAGTGTTGTCGTAGTTGCCATCTGAATTAGTTGTATAATATGGCGTTGTCTGCCTTCCACGGCAACAAACAAGTTGTTGACGCTAGAGATTTCTTGGGTTCGCTGACTTTTAGAAATGTGTCTCCTGTCTGGTGGTTACCATCTGGTGGTTGTCATTTGGTAGCTGCAATCTACCATAAAAATGTTTTACTTTGTGAAGGATTGTATTTGTTCCTTACAAACCTTTCTCTTATGTAAATTGCTCAGTTTAGGAATCCTCTTTTCCAGTAGGACGCTCATCCCATTTGATAAAGTTCTATTTAGTGCAGAGGGACCCGCATCCCATAAGTTCCGTTTAGTACAGAGTAATCCTAAACCAATTCAATAAAAACGGACTAGACCCTCTAAACCAAGCTACTTGTTTATAGATATATCCCCACTATTATGATTCTTTACTAGCGTTTTTATATCAGAAACCAATCCGAGTTTTGGCGTCCAACAAAACCTCAGGACTCCAATAAACTTTTTAACGCTGTCTGGAATCTTTCTATTTTCAACCACCCCTCCCCTCCCACCTTTTATGTCCTGTATCGTGTTCGTTAGTAATGGCTCTAGTGAATGGTTTGTTGGTTTAAAGAGGCGAGTGGGTGATAAGTCGGCCATGATAAATGGTGGTTGGGTCATCTAGGTTGATCTGGGTAGACTTCTTGTGTGGTGGTTGGGTCACCTAAGGTCATGTGTGTAGGCGTTGTGTGAAGACTACTTGTGTGGTGGTTGGGTCAACTAAGGTCATGTGTGTAGGCGTTGTGTGAAGACTACTTGTGTGGTGGTTGGGTCAACTAAGGCGATGTGTGTAGGAGTTGTGTGAAGACTACTTGTGTGGTGCTTGGGTCAACTAAGGTCATGTGTGTAGGCGTTGTGTGAAGACTACTTGTGTGGTGGTTGGGTCAACTAAGGTCATGTGTGTAGGCGTTGTGTGAAGACTACTTGTGTGGTGCTTGGGTCAACTAAGGTCATGTGTGTAGGCGTTGTGTGAAGACTACTTGTGTGGTGGTTGGGTCAACTAAGGTCATGTGTGTAGGCGTTGTGTGAAGACTACGTGTGTGGTGGTAGTGGTCTTGACATTAATGGTGGCTGGTACAGATGTGGGTGTATTTTTACTTGACGATGGTTGTGGTGTTGGCTTGTGATGGTTGTGGTGCTGATGGTGGTGATGATGATGGGGGTTGTGTTGAGTGATGGATGTGTTGACTGGTGATTGATGTCTTTTGTACCCGACACTGGACTGATTGCTTGATTCTCTGCTTGAAACCTTGACTTAAAGCTTATTGAGTGGTGTTTGCGCAAAGCAAAACAGCTGTTACTATCCACATGTTTTTGTAAGATTTTAAAACTTGGGAGCTGGAGGATTATGACAATACAAGTTTCATGCTGTGGGACCAAATTTAATTAACAGTTGAATGTTTTTCAAAAAAAAATTAAGATTTGTCCTCTGTCTCCAGCGTCACATGACCTCTGGGAACTGGTTAGTGCTGAGTACGCTGAGCAGCTGGAGGAGGATGGTCAGTACCACAAGGCAGCGACCTACCTGCTGGCTGCCCACAAGGTGCATCAGGCCATCGACTTGTTCAGGAGGCATCGCTTGTTCAGGTAAGGCACTCTATGTTTGTAGCCTAGAGGTCCTTCTGTTTGTAGCCTAGAGGTCGCCTTATGTTTGTAGCCTAGAGGTCCCTCTGTAGCCTAGAGGTCGCCTTATGTTTGTAGCCTAGAGGTCCCTCTGTAGCCTAGAGGTCGCCTTATGTTTGTAGCCTAGAGGTCCCTCTGTAGCCTAGAGGTCGCCTTATGTTTGTAGCCTAGAGGTCCCTCTGTAGCCTAGAGGTCGCCTTATGTTTGTAGCCTAGAGGTCCCTCTGTAGCCTAGAGGTCCCCCTATGTTTGTAACCTAGAGGTCCCCCTGTAGCCTAGAGGTCACCTTATGTTTGTAGCCTAGAGGTCCCCCTATGTTTGTAGCCTAGAGGTCGCCTTATGTCTGTAGCCTAGAGGTCCCCCTATGTTTGTAGCCTAGAGGTCCCTCTGTAGCCTAGAGGTCACCTTATGTTTGTAGCCTAGAGGTCCTCCTATGTTTGTAGCCTAGAGGTCCCGCTATGTTTTTAGTCTAGAGGTCCCTCTGTAGCCTAGAGGTCCCCCTATGTTTGTAACCTAGAGGTCCCTCTGTAGCCTAGAGGTCACCTTATGTTTGTAGCCTAGAGGTCCTCCTATGTTTGTAACCTAGAGGTCCCTCTGTAGCCTAGAGGTCACCTTATGTTTGTAGCCTAGAGGTCCTCCTATGTTTGTAGCCTAGAGGTCCCGCTATGTTTTTAGTCTAGAGGTCCCTCTGTAGCCTAGAGGTCCCCCTATGTTTGTAACCTAGAGGTCCCTCTGTAGCCTAGAGGTCACCTTATGTTTGTAGCCTAGAGGTCCTCCTATGTTTGTAGCCTAGAGGTCCCGCTATGTTTTTAGTCTAGAGGTCCCTCTGTAGCCTAGAGGTCCTCCTATGTCTGTAGCCTAGAGGTCCTCCTATGTCTGTAGCCTAGAGGCCCCCCTATGTCTGTAGCCTAGAGGTCCCCTATGTTTAGTGTAGAGGTCCCTCTGTATGTTTGTAGGCCCATCTTCACTGTATACCTGTACCCTGTATAAGTGCAAGATATCCAGCCAACCTGTAGACTTCCTTCTTCCCATGACATCGCTGTCCACCACTGTCCACCACTGTCCACCACTGTCCACCACTGCCCAGCACTGTATCAACCAAACAAATTGGTGAAGCCATGTCTGTACAGCTGAACCAACATTTGCTGCTGGGAAACCCAGGCCATAGGAATTTATTTGGGAAGCCTGTAGATACATGTAACACTTGTCAGTGTTGACACAGTCAGAGGGGCAGGCCCTAGCTAGTTGTCTATCTACAGAAAAGTTGTGTCTCTAGCTAGTAGTCTATCTACAGAAAAGATGTGTCTCTATCTAGTAGTCTATCTACAGAAAAGACATGTCTCTAGCTAGTAGTCTATCTACAGAAAAGACATGTCTCTAGCTAGTAGTCTATCTACAGAAAAGATGTGTCTCAAGCTAGTAGAAATGTCTGTCTATAGTTGTTATCTAGTACATTTACCTCTCCACAGAGAAGCTGTGTCTCTATAGTCTGCCTATAGTTGTTATCTAGTACATTTACCCCTCCACAGAGAAGCTGTGTCTCTAGTTAGTAGAAATGTCTGTCTATAGTTGTTATCTAGTACATTTACCCCTCCACAGAGAAGCTGTGTCTCTAGTTAGTAGAAATGTCTGTCTATAGTTGTTATCTAGTACATTTACCTCTCCACAGAGAAGCTGTGTCTCTAGTTAGTAGAAATGTCTGTCTATAGTTGTTATCTAGTACATTTACCCCTCCACAGAGAAGCTGTGTCTCTATAGTCTGCCTATAGTTGTTATCTAGTACATTTACCCCTCCACAGAGAAGCTGTGTCTCTAGTTAGTAGAAATGTCTGTCTATAGTTGTTATCTAGTACATTTACCCCTCCACAGAGAAGCTGTGTCTCTATAGTCTGCCTATAGTTGTTATCTAGTACATTTACCCCTCCACAGAGAAGCTGTGTCTCTAGTTAGTAGAAATGTCTGTCTATAGTTGTTATCTAGTACATTTACCCCTCCACAGAGAAGCTGTGTCTCTAGTTAGTAGAAATGTCTGTCTATAGTTGTTATCTAGTACATTTACCCCTCCACAGAGAAGCTGTGTCTCTAGTTAGTAGAAATGTCTGTCTATAGTTGTTATCTAGTACATTTACCCCTCCACAGAGAAGCTGTGTCTCTAGTTAGTAGAAATGTCTGTCTATAGTTGTTATCTAGTACATTTACCTCTCCACAGAGAAGCTGTGTCTCTAGTTAGTACAAATGTCTGTCTATAGTTGTTATCTAGTACATTTACCTCTCCACAGAGAAGCTGTGTCTCTAGCCAAAATGCGTCTCTCACCAGTGGACTCACTGCTTGAAGACTTGTACACAGAATGGGGTCAAAGTTTAATGAAAGATGGCCAGTTTGAACAAGCTGCTAAATGGTAGGTCTATTTTTACTTCTTCAAATAAGATTTTAAAAATAATTTTTTAAATGCTTTATGTTTAACTTTGAACATTCAACTTTTAAAGCTTTTATACATAAATAGTTCTTTAAATATTTTAAAAAATTAATTATTTCTAATGGCTTTTAAATTATATCACTTTCAGCTACTTAGCCATGAGACACATCCAAGAAGCTGGTAAAGCACTGACTAGAAGATTAGACCAATCATCTTTAAAAACAGCGTGTCACATGACCATTTTGGCCAATGATACTCAACAAGGCCTGTCCTATGCTTTTAAGTTATTCTCTCAAAACTTTGTGATGGGAGAGTGGCAGGAGGCTTATACTTTTATCCAAGAACATGAATCACTGAAGGTGAGTACATGGCCTCCCTGAACACTCATCTCTGTATACACACTTCCTGTATGCTCCCATTAGACTGTGAACTAGTCTAGCAGGCCCCACCTTGATACTTGTAACTCAGTCTCTACATGACAGTTCCAGTGTTTCCAGTTGTCCCCTTGTCTTCCTACATGCAGAATAGTTATTTTCTGTATGAGAAATTGGGTAATTTTCTTTTAATGTAAAATAAATGTAATGTGAGTTATAGTGTGTTGTTGATGTAATTGTTACAGTTCTTGCTCCCTCTGGTGAGCACTCATGAGATGCTGGTCCAGCAGCTTGCTGTCATGTGTCCAGGGCTGAACTTGACCCACAAGCCACTCACACCTGATATGTTTGCCCACTGGGACCAGAAGGAAACTGCCAACAATAAAATCACTCTGCCTGGTGAGTCGCTCAAACATCAGCTCTAGACAGTCTAGAGATAATTGTAGTTGTCACATGTACACACACACACACACACAATGGAAAGTTGTGTTCTTGTAGTTGGGAAAAACTAATTGAAAATCACAAACCAGACAAAGTTGTGACACCTTATAGGGAATGGTTTTAGCAACATTTTTAAATAGCTGTCCTAAATGCTGTCACACTGTCAATATTTGTTTTAATTGAAGCCTAAGGATATTTTATAGTAAATAACTTTGGTTTTAACCAACCACAGGTTTTTTATATTAATTTTTTTTGTACATTTTTAAAGTATATTGTGTAAACACATATTTTAAAAATTAATAACACATCTTTAATAATACAATGAAATTTGGTCATCAGAGTTCCTTGTAGACAAGTCTGAGATAGATCCAGTGGTTCCATGGGAGCCATTCCTGATAGATGAGCACACCTTCCCCCACCATCTGCTGCGCTCATGGTACAAACACTTTGACATCAACATGGTGACCCAGGAGTTGACAGCCATGCATGCCGCCATCTCACAGTTGGTGTCACTCAGGCAGAACCTGGGGGACCTGCCTAGTGTAAGTGTGGGGTTGTGGGTGGGCAAGTGAGGGTTGTGTGGGCCTGCCTAGTGTAAGTGTGGGCATGTGAGGGTTGTGTGGACCTGCCTAGTGTAAGTGTGGGCATGTGAGGGTTGTGTGGACCTGCCTAGTGTAAGTGTGGGCATGTGAGGGTTGTGTGGACCTGCCTAGTGTAAGTGTGGGCATGTGAGGGTTGTGTGGACCTGCCTAGTGTAAGTGTGGGCATGTGAGGGTTGTGTGGGCCTGCCTAGTGTAAGTGTGGGCATGTGAGGGTTGTGTGGACATGCCTAGTGTAAGTGTGGGCATGTGAGGGTTGTGTGGGCCTGCCTAGTGTAAGTGTGGGGTTGTGAGTGGACATGTGAGAGTTGTGGACCTGCCTAGTGTAAGTGTGGGCATGTGAGGGTTGTGTGGGCCTGCCTAGTGTAAGTGTGGGCATGTGAGGGTTGTGTGGGCCTGCCTAGTGTAAGTGTGGGCATGTGAGGGTTGTGTGGGCCTGCCTAGTGTAAGTGTGGGCATGTGAGGGTTGTGTGGGCCTGCCTAGTGTAAGTGTGGGCATGTGAGGGTTGTGTGGACATGCCTAGTGTAAGTGTGGGCATGTGAGGGTTGTGTGGGCCTGCCTAGTGTAAGTGTGGGGTTGTGAGTGGACATGTGAGAGTTGTGGACCTGCCTAGTGTAAGTGTGGGCATGTGAGGGTTGTGTGGGCCTGCCTAGTGTAAGTGTGGGGTTGTGGGTGGGCATGTGAGAGTTGTGTGGGCCTGCTAGTGTAAGTGTGGGGTTGTGGGTGGGCATGTGAGAGTTGTGTGGGCCTGCCTAGTGTAAGTGTGGGGTTGTGGGTGGGTATGTGAGAGTTGTGTGGGCCTGCCTAGTGTGTGGGGTTGTGGGTGGAAATGTGAGAGTTGTGTGGGCTGAAGTTTTGTGTGGCTGTGTGGGTAGATGTTATATGTCTGTATGTGGGTGCTGGGTTAAGGTTAAATGTTTGTGTAGCTTACCCAAAAAAATTATTTAGTGCCTTCTCTCCTAATTTTTTTTTTAGTCTTTCAAAATTATTTAAAAGTGTTGTAGAATCCCTTGTTCCACTACTTGTTGTTGTAGCTGTAAACACCCCCCTTCACCACCACCGCCACTGTTTGACTAATTGATTGTTTTGCCCCCCGCAGCTGCTGGTGATGGTCAGCATGGACATCACCCTCTGTCTCCTGGTACTGCTCACCTCGGACACGTCCAAGGCCATCGTCCATCTGATAGAAGCAATGTCCACACTGTACAACAGCAAGCACAAAACACTACACCAAGCTTTGTGTCGCCTCATGCTCCCTCAAGGTGGGACATTTTGACTGGCTCTCTGTGCTTTATTGTCAGGCCTGAATCAGAGAAATAGACTTTTCTATAGGCTAATATTAAGGCTGACATGAGGATTATGTTAAGTCAGGTCTTGATAACAGCTGTGTTGATTTATAGATTCAGTAAATGTAATTTAGCAGAAATAAATTTTTATGAAATATATTACTGAACACTAGATTATGTTTTCGCAAGTTTTAGAATAACAATCATGAAAATCCTGAATTTATCCCATCATGTTTTATATTTTGGTGCTAGTTTAAAAATTTAGAAAAGCCTTATAAAGATTTAATAGGAAGTCACCATAAGGGTTGGTGTTGTGTTAAATAAGTATATTCAAGAAAGTTTAGAGGAGATCACTCCTGCTTTATTATCCTTAGGATTTATAAAAAAAATATGTTTCTGAATTTGAGTAATAAAATTTTTTGTGAGATTTGACTAATGAACCAATGTTTCTCTCCCCAGGTCCAAAGTACTTGCTGAAGCTCCAGCAGGAGTTCAATGCTTCCAGAGTCCTCATCACCATGGAGAGTCACGGAGATGTCAACAAGGCTGGAGGTGAAGGTCATAACAGTATTAAAAAGTTCCTGAGCGACATTAAAGACGACAGCTCCATCTCAACGCCCAGCGTGCGGTGTAGGGAGCTGGACTGTCTGCGGGCGTACTACTACTTGGCCGTGTTGGACTTTGTCCGCGATGGCTTCCCCAATGGTCAGCAGGAGGAGGACATCTTTGATGGCATGCCCAACCAGGTGTTCACTGACCCCAACAGCTGCGTCAGGGAGTTTAAAAACAAAGAGCTGTCCTCGTCTGTTGACCCTTCATGTCTGACTACGCCCTGTGTGGACACCTTGATAAAAAACATTCACAACAGCTTTGGAAACATCAGTGACCTAGACCAGAATGGTAGAATCAGTCAGGCGCCAGTGTCAGATGGTAGAATCGGTCAGGCGCCAGTGTCAGGTGCTAACTTAAATTCTGACAAAAAGACACTTTGTGCTGGTGACTTACAAAGTCAGCCAGGCCATCAAAAAAACTTAGCTCAGGAATATTCTGCACAATCATACTCTGTGGACCCGCCTGTAGTGCCTTTCTCTCAGAAGAAAACTCAGCTGCCTATAACAGCACAGCAGGGTAGGAAATCCCCCTTACCCACCACACCCGTGAAATCACCCACAGACTCCATAAAAAGCTCAAAAACTTCCCCCACCACCTCACTACACAGGCAGACGTCAGCACAAAAAGGTCACCTGACCAACACGAACCTGCTCAGGCTATCCAAGGGCATTCTCTGGGATGTGCAAGCCAAGCGTGAGGCGCTGACCGAGACCCTGGGCTACATCCACCGAGCCATATCTCAGCATTTACTGACAGTCCGACCAGCGGAGGAGCACAAGTCTGGCTGTGCCATGAGCCCCACCCCCAGCAGCTCCAGCTGTAAAACCAGCACTGACGGGAGGGGGCTGGAGGAGGATGGGAGCTGTCACCAGACACGCCTCTCACCATCACCGCTATCACCCACCACATCAGAAATCTTAAACACCGGAAAGACTCCCGTCCGACCAACATTTTTCAATACAAACACTTCGAATAACTCAGAGTCTACCAGCCCTAAAGACAATGACAGCAATGAAAAATCAAAATCCAGTGGATCCAACTCTGGTGGTGAGCGCACTCGATCTCTCTCACCCAAATCTCCTAACTTAAATGAGTTGAGCAGCAGGGGACCATTTCGGAGCAAGTCAGACAATTCTTCATTGTCTCCCTTAAGTCCATCATCCGCTCTAGATCCCTGCGTGGCTCTTCAAGTGGAGCATGACTTGCTTGGACATTACGATGGAAACCAAGTGACATTTCAAAAACCAACCAAAGTAAGAACTTTTTCTCTCAGGGTTTTCTACTACATCATCTCTGTAATAAGCATCAGCTGCTTGTTGGCAGTAGTGTTTTTATTCACAGCTAGCAATGTAAGAGTCGGACAACACATCTAGAGCCTCATGTAGAAGCTGGTTATGCTAAACAAAATGTAATTGGGTAGAAAAAATATGCATATGTATTGCTTACAGGAATGGGATAGCGTCAATATGCGTTTTTGCTCATGACGGCTAACCCAAATGTTTGGATGCCGGGCATGAGACTGTTGGACATCCTTGTCTCACATTAGGGAAAATAAAGGCAGCTGGGAATTATCCTTTTATATGAGGAGATCACAATAACAGGTGAAATGTACTCTACCTGACCTATTGACCATCAGGTCTGAAGGGGTATCTTAACTATTTTATTAATAGTTTTCAGGAAATAAATGGAAGCAGTATGGTTGAATGGTAGGGCTTATGATTGCTAACTCCAAGGTCTTGAGTTCAAATCTCTTGATAGAGTCTATAGGAAGTCCCTGAGTCCACCCAGCTCTGATGGGTGCCTGACTCATTAGGGAAACAAAGGTGGCTTGTATGCCAAAGTTATTGAACAGATGACATCTACTTCATCTGTCCCATGAGTCTAAGGCACAAATGAAAAAAGATGATTAAATAGAAGCAGTAGTTCACTTTCTATATTTACATTATTATGCTGTGTTATCAATTTATTTTTACCTTCATCCACTTCTGACCGCCTCATTGCACTCAGACATTGTTGCCCTCATACTGTGGTTGAATGTCAAATAGTGTAACACATTTACTCCTTTCATCAGGTATTGTGGTTGGATGGGAGAGGATCCTCTGTGGACCAGAGCCCAACAAGCCCAAAGCCTGCTTTTAACATGTCAAAGTTAGCCCCAGATGGCAGCACCATTCCAATAGAGTGGTATGATCTTCCAATAGATGTCAAATACACACAACCTTACGTCACTCTGGCCTTGCTTAAACATGAAGAAGATGCTGTTAATCAAGAGTTGAAGAGAGTGCCAGAGATCTCCCATGTAAGTTTTTTAAAACTCTCAAATCATTTTAGTTGTGAAAGAAAATTTCTGTCAACAAAACAGTTTTAAAACTTTTGAGCAAGGATGACATTGATGATTGATGTAATGGAGATTTTAAAAATTGTTTTTAAAAAGTGTTTTAAAAAAATGCACTTAAAATAATATACACCTTTTAAAATTTAATTATTTTCTATTTGCTGGACCAGTTGTCTCACCACTTGACTGCACTGTAGTCCACTATATTGTTTTCCTCCTGATACAAAAACCCAATAAATTTAAAATAATTTTTTCAGGTTCCCTTCCCTCCCACTAGAAATAGTATCCGTCGACTGCTGGATGCCTGCCTGAACTCCCCGCACCTGAGTAAAGAAGAAAAACATTCATACTTCAAACAACTGAATGACTGGGCTGTTCTGTTTGCTGTCACCACCCACCAGCAGACTGAGACAGACACCTTGTTTTCATCAGCTGCTCTAGAACATTTTACAGCAGGCTGATTGTTGATGTTGTCAGGACAAGTGCTCTCAAATGAACTGGCCTTTTTTTGTTTTATTTTATTACTTCAGCTTAATATAAGTTGACAAATTTGTTTTGTTAATAAATTTATCCATTCCTTCCAAATTGTATATTTAGTTGGAAATTGTTGATTGTAACAGTTTAAAAAAAAATCTCCACTATTTTGTATTTCAGAGCTAGAGATAAATAGTGATTTCTTTGGTTTGAAAATATATGGGTTACCATTTATAACTTATATAACATTAAAATAAAATTGGTTGGAAATGAAATTCTGATATATTCTTTCAGCAAAAAGTTTTTCGAATTGATGCAGAAAAAAAAATTCCTTTTTTTTAAATGAATCATTCTGTTGTTTAAAAATTAATTCTTGTTGTTGCTATCTGGTTGACTATTACCTTTAAAATAAACAAAAAAGTAAAATTGTCTTTAAACTTGACGTTTTCAATCTCAGCTAACATGGGTTGCTTTTTAACATCCATGCTAACTAATCAAAAGAATGGCTGCGGTAATGCAACCAGCATCAGTATTAAATATAGGTGTCAGCGACCTGATGGTTGGACCATTATGTTAGCTGCTGAAGACCTTAGTTTGGACCATTGCAGTGTAAATGAAGCAACCTTTTGAGGCTGCCAGCTTTTAACAGGTCTGCTTGTGATGTATACTTGTGTTAGTATAATGGAGCTTAACATAGTCCTTGACATTTAAATTAAAAATGGAAATGTGATTTAAATTAAAGCTGCTGTGCCTCATCAAAATGCAAATTTTTTTAAATGCATCATTATCCCTGGTAAATTTATAAAAAGAAATCCAAAATTTTTTTCAGTGAGATTAGGTTTTCAGAACAAACTATTCTATGACCTAATTTAAAAATCCTGATTGTGGAATGCAGATGTGCCAGTATTTGTTACCTTGATGATTGTTTTATTGCAGACCACAACAAAATAGTGGAGAAAACTCATTACATTTGTTTGAAAGACATTGTTATTGTAATATTTTTTAAGTGTGATATTGTCATTAAACCAGTGTTAACTTTTATTGTCTTAAAGCATTTCTTTGATTCTGATAGATGGGAAAGTCTCACAAAGCTGTTTTTCGAGGTGTCGATTGCATTTTTAATGGCTACAAAGCATGGTCAAAGACCACAGAACCCTGTCTCTACTTAGACTGACAATGCTGAATTTCATTCCTTTCATAAACTCTGTACCCTTTGATAAAAAAAAATGTTCACAAATTTTTATTCTTTAATAGAAATAATGTACAATACTTTAAATAGAAATTATAATCCATATTGAATAACTCTTGAACGCTGTCTTCTAATGTAATCTTGCATTAATTCATTGCCAGTTTTCTCTGGTGGGTAATAATCCTTGGGTGGTTTCCCTTCTCTTAGTCTCAAAAAATAGTTGGTATATCTGTATTGGATTACACCAAACCGCATCCTTGCATGTTTTCTTACACCCTTTATAATAATACCTTTAGACACAAAGGAGTCACCTAAAATATAAAATATTGTAAAACTATTAAGTATGAGTTATCTGAAAAGTTAAGGAGAAAATAACATTCAAATTCAAATTAATAAACTATAAATAACAGCTAAATTGCAAAAAACTTACAAATCCACAAATTAGATTTGAATTCAACATTGTGACTAGTCACTGCCTTTTCTTGTGCTTCCTCTAACACCTGCAACAGTACATAAATTTCATGTTAATCTAAAGAAAATAGTACAACTAAAATTGTTTTAAAAGTGTCAATTATTTCAGGCTAATGATACGATAAATGATTGTTGAATTAGTTTAAATACAGTGATATGTGGAACGATGTGATGGGGCAATAGAGCACTATAGTGCAAACTCAAAAGTCACGAGTTTAGAGACCTCACGAGTTTAGAGACCGACCTCAAATGTGACATTCCTGAGTTTACCCAGTTCTCGACTGCCTCATGTCAGGGAAAGTAGAGGCATCTGGTCATCTACCCATTCATGAGCAGAGGTAAAGGAAATAAAATAACTCTTCACCTACATAGCGACAGACGGGTCTAAAAAGGTATCTTAACTGTAGTATTAATATAACTAGATGGTATATTTTCCCTTGTGGCTTCCTAATTCTTTGAATACACAAGTAATAACATCAACCTCTTTTTTACTTTCTCGTGTACAGAGTATAAAGTATTGTAATCGTGCACAAAAATCATGAAATTTTGACAGTTTTCATAGTTTTACACCTCAGGACTTCATCATATACGGAGTATAGGGGACTTATTTTAATTGGGTAAAAATAATACAGATTAATCAAAATTTCAGCGTTCTATGCGTAATCGAGTCGGAAAAACTGAGCTTTGCAATTGTGTCTGTGTGTGTCTGTAAACACGATAACTTGAGTACCGTAACAGCTAGATTGATGAAATTTCATATACAAGCATTATATCAAATTTCTAGTTCTGTATCAACTTTTCAGCGACTTCTGGTAACCAGAAGTGGAACTAACTCTACTTTTGGTTTTTCAAAAGCCTATAACTTGACTACTATTTCAGATAAATGAAATTTCACAAATAAGTAAAATATCTAATTCACTGCCCTCTGTCAAATTTTGAGTTATTTCTGTTGACCCGAAGTAGTAATTTATGCTATTTCCGATTTCTCAAAAAAATGCATGTGAATTTATAAAGTACTAATAATGTTCTGCACTATTATACACAGATTGTTTGGCATTTACTTGGTGTGCAATTCTTTTTTTCTACTAGATTCTATTCCATTTTAAAAAGTTTAAGTAGTTAAAAATCATGTCTAGATCTATATCCCAATTTGCCATCCCTGCAGTGTTTTATAAGAATATTTGAGAAAGTATAGGGGAGATCACTTCCGGTTTATTTAATGCTGCAATTATAGCAACTAAATCATCCTAGTTTGGAAAATCATTGTAGAGTTTCATTAAATTGTCATGCATTCTCTGCATTTATTTACCAAGTCTACTAGTAAAAAAATGTAAAACCTCTTTGATGTGAGCAGCTCCTTTCCTTTTGTGAAATGACAGCTGTTTGATGGCTTCATCTATAGACATCCCACGGATCTAAGGAAACGTTTGAAGCATGGTGTAATGTATTTAGATCTCTAGTCAATGATTAACTAAGAAGTCAAATGGCCGTTTACATTTTATTAAGGTATAATTTACATCTCCTAGGCAAAACTAATGTAACTGGAGTTTCAATAGCTTTCTAGTGTTATAATTAAATTATACAATGTAACTACGAACAGGTTCAATCTATACCAAAACAAGATAACCAAAACATTAATTTTTAATTACGATGTGAAATAAAACAATTTTTGACTAAATTTGAAATACATTTGTTTTCTACTACAGTTGCAATATTTTAACATGAGCCTACCATTTGTGCAATGTACCACAACTTTTTGGTGCTGTATTTAATCTGCATCCTAGCATGACACACTTCCTACAGTAGAAAAAAATATAATTGTGATGAGTTTTTTAATAAATGTCTGTGTAGTGAGGGAACCAACAGTGTGACCCTTCTCTCACCTATTGGTTACTAGGGGACACCACTGAGACTAACACGACCACCACACTGCTAAAAAATAACAACCCTCTCTAACATCAGTTACCCCTGGGTCTGCATCCAGTTATATGTTGTAGTCTGTTTTGACTTTAAAGGTCACCTATAGGTCAACCTCAGGTGTCAACTGGGGTCATCATTTAGTTACACCAGTGGGAATTTCACCTGTAGTCAACAGTCTCAGGTGTCAGTTTGTTACCCAAGGTATCCATCTCCCAACTTTTTGTGTATATTTTAGGGGTCATCCATAAATGACGTCACGCTTTTTTTGACAATTTTTACCTCCCACCCTCTCCCCTCCGTCACACGTCATCACAAAAAGCCAGACCTTCCCCCTAAAATGAAGTCACACCTCAGCCTACAACCCTCCTCAAAATTGCAGTTGAATTTTTTTAAATATCGATATTTTTCCAAAATCTTGTTTGAACTCTGTCAAAATAGAGTATTTTAATCAAGTCCTATTACAATTTATTAAAACAGTTTTCTAAAACGCAAAATAACGTCTAAAATTTGTTTTCTAACATTGCCTTTTTATAATGCAAAAGTGTGACATCACACCATCTGAACCCCCCCCCCCCCCCTGATCACACACCGTCACAAAATTATGGACCCCACTACGAGTGTGACGTCATTTATGGACGACCCCTTTCCTTCAAAAATATGATTAAGAATAATTCAGAATGCCATTAAAAATGTCAATACCCCACATTATTATAGGAAGAGAAGTGAAAAGCTAACCTTTCACCAGTATTAATACATATAGATTAATATTACAATAGGGTTAGTAAGCAGGTCACCAACTTCTTGTTCTCGTACTTGCCATCTAGTATTCTTTCAAACCATATATTAATTATATTTTTTTTTATCAAATTGGTAAAAAAATATATAAATAGAAAAGGTTATTTCTGCTATTATTTAAAATCCTAAACAATGATAATGATCGCCAACAAGATGTAGGCTGGCTTAAAGAAAACTATAGCTCAAGTTAAATTGTGATTTTTTTTTATTAACGTACAATTTGTTATTATTTTAAAATCTTGAAGTGAAACCTAGAAACAAATAGCCACCATATTTTTTTAATGAATGGGAATTATGTTAAAAAACATAAATTTAACTCAAAAATTTATATCTCTCCCTGGCTAACAAAATTTTAAGCAACAGTAACTTACAAGCCCTATTAACGTAGTTTAAAAAAATTTAAAGAATGAAAAACTTACAGCTGGTCGCTCAAGCCCACCCAGAGGAGTAGGTGGATACAGAACACGATTGTACTTCAGCCAGTTTGGTGGTACAAGTTTAGCTTTGCCAACTCTCTTTGGCGCGCCTCTTTCAAACTCTGTATTTCTATATCCATATTGTAAGCTACTTGTGTGCAATGTAGAGGAATTGGATGCTGAAGTTACACCTAATATTCTGGTTGGTTTGGTTGGTATTAAAGAGCTTGAGATACTGTGTAAACATCTAAATGTGAAGAGACGTAGTTACATTTCTATTAATAAGAGATATTAATATGATGATTTTTATTTTATAAAGCAAACAATAGTATTTTATAACTATTTTAAAACAAACGGCAATTGTTAGTAAACACTAAAATAAATCAAAATATCTGTGCAGAAGGGAATGCCTAAGCTGGTAAGCAAGCAAATGCTTGATTAATCTGTCAAAAAGTCTTTCAACTGTGAACCGATCCAGAGGTCAAATGGTGGGGTATCTGGTGGTTGGTTAAGAGATGTAGGTTCAATAAGAAATAAAAGTAAAAAAAAGTAAAAATTCCTCCTTAGACCTTGCGATTCATTGGGCAATTGAAGTAGAGAACATGTTTCTTGACCTCAGCATTTGAAGGGATGGTATGGTCAGCACTATGCTCAGTCACCTTGACTCTCTAACTTAAGTCGGGTACTCATCAGAGCTGGGTGGACTAAGGGACGACCAACAGCCACTAGTCCAAACCATGATCTGAACTTTAGACCTTCAGGCTACTACTATTTGACCATGCTATCCCCAAATGGGACACAAACTACCTTTTCTAATATTCAATTTTTTACTCAACACTACTCTGATTCTGTCCTATCATAACCTCATATCTATGGTTTGAATTAATTAAAACTACTAACTAGAAACTTGAGCTAAGTATATTACTAGTTTATTAGCTATCGAGACTAATGAGATGAAAGCACAATCAGATACAAATCTGCATGTTGCAGTTTCTTTAAAATGACCATATTCATTTTTTGATATGTATACTAAAGTCAAAGTTAACAATGAATAAAAGACACAAAAAAGACAGGTCATTCAGTGTGCTGTTTTGTAAACATGCAAGCAAAGTGGAAAGAAAATATTACCTTCCATCCAACCTTTCATAAGGTGAATGAAAAAAATTTTCCACTATGCATGCATACATTGCATAGGCCTATTCCCTTGTCCCTAGAATATGGCTACATAAAATTAACATTAATTCTAAAACCAATTTATATTTAGTGGAACAATATAGCAGATTTCATAAGCCTAAGTATATCCGTAACATAACTTTTAAAAAATTATGAAAATACCTCATAAATGATGCCCTTGAGGGTTGGATGATACATTGTTGAAACTGAGCAACAGAGTTCAGAAGACAAATACCTGAATTTAAAATAACACCACATAAATATTTTTTTTCAAACTAAATATATTCTTTCTAATATTTTATTTCTAATATACAACAATCAGACTACACAAAGACTCTAAACTAATAACTATTGTTAACTTTTACGGGTAGGCAGATTATATCACATGGTTGTTAGCACATTTTTTTTCAAATTAAACAGTTTTAAAAATATCATCAATAATATTAAACAACCAATACCCAACCATTTTGTTTTAAATTAAGAAATAATTAGATGTAAATTATCAATGATTAGGTCTAAATAAATGAATTACACTATGCATAATACGTATATGCCTACTGTCTTGATTCCCATAAATCGATATAAATGGTAAGTAAGGTAGTACTACAGTATGTAGGCCTAATAGTCAGTAGTAATTTATTAGAAGATCTAACTAATACTAGAAACAGTTTATGATTTTGAATAGTGACACAAGTGTGTACAAAAGTGAAACAAAGTGTGTATTCCCAATAGGCTGAAAATTTTACCATTTTATATTAAATTTTATAATTAGAGAATATCTTAAATAGGCCTAATATTAAACACTAGGCATGATGCCTAGCTTTGCTTAGGTTTTCAAAAACATTGAGAATTTGAATGCTTAATTTTTCAATAGTAAGGAAGAATCATGTCTTTTCTTGCTTACTAGATCTAGCTTTAAAACAAGTAAATTTGACTTTTTACCTGCGTTTTTGGTCGCGTTTCTATATATTTTATTTGCGACACTTAAAAAATTATATTAAATCAACCAATTATGCTAAATTAATAAAATTGGTACTGTTGGATTGCATTTTTAAAGCTCTACAATTAGGCCTATATGCTATTCTTTTTATAATTTGAAGAAATTTGAATTTTTATGAGACTAACTACTACTAGGCCCCCCTATATTATTAGGCAGGCCTACAATATTAATTAATAATAATTAATTAGCAAATCCTGCTCACAAACACTGCTGTTTTAAGTTAATTTCTGGCCTATAGGCTATACTATAGGGCATCTCTATATATTAGGCCTAGGCCTATATATTGATATATTAATTATATTTTATTATTTAGTATTTAGCCATTGATTTCTTTAGGTTTATTGAATTATTAAGGTAAAACTCCATTTTAGCGTATTTTATTCCCCGCTTGACGTTCACCTCCAGTTGAGCGTATTTTATTGTAAACACAACCGAAACACACAAAAACGTTAGGAAAACACAGATCTACTTATTATTTTTTTTTATAAATGCGATTTTTTATTAGAAAAGGTAAAAAAAAACATAAAAAAGCATTAGAACTGTTCCAATTAACTATTGTGTGATCGTCAGCGGGAGAAAAATCCTTACACGGTCGCGGGTTCCCCGTGAGTTCACATTGACTTTAATTATCAGCATACGTCATAGCTCTGGGCAATAGCTGTCTGAAATTATGTTGGCCTTAGTTTTGGGGTCATTGTAAGTTCATTAATGTTTATTTATAGTATCATGCCTGGGAGATACTTGTAACAGTACAAACTTAACCGCCTTTGCAGCCAATTGTGAGTTACGTTTTTACGTATTTCACCCATTGCCATGAAAATTCTGACGCACGAACATTGCACATTCAAAATTTTGATTTTTCTCAACTTTTAACAAAAGTAAATTATCAAAATCTAAAAAAAAGTCAGTCTCTTTGTTTTTTTTATTCATTTTTATTCATTTGTTAAAACAAAAATACAATACAAATAGCCTAATAAATCCTGTTTTCCTAATGTTTTGGTGTGTTTCGGTTGTTATAATAAAATACGCTCAACTGGAGGTAAACAAGAAGCGGAGAATAAAATACGCTAAAATGGAGTTTTACCAATTATTAATATTAGCCTACTCATCTATAATATTTGACACAACTAGTCAACTAGATCTAAATCACATTAATGACATTATAGATCTACTTCTTGCCAACATTACTAATTACTAGACTAGATTTTACGTAGGCCTAAAAATCTAAAATACTAAAATAAAAGGATAGATTAGGCCTAGGCCATGATTAGGCCTAATCATTGATTAGTTATTTATTTATTTACTATTTAGATCTAGACCTAGATCTCTAGATCTAGATTCTAGTAACTAACTACTATACACTTCACTATACTAGTGTATCAACTATCTAGAGTCTAGAGATTTATTTAGATCTAGAATCTAGTAGGCCTAATATTTAATATTTAGTATTTTTAGGCCCTAGGCCTAGGCCTACCGCCGGTTTTTTTTTTTTTTTGTTACAGTAGAATCTTAATTTTACTCATAGGAAATAGAGTCTAGGGGCCTAAATATTAAATATTGATATCTAAATTATAGCAGAATAAATACCATATGGCATATAGCATACAGGAAAAAAAGTATAGGAATAAAATACTAGATTATAGCTAATTCATGAATGTTTTTACCGTGCTTGAAGGTCGCCATTTTTCGTTGTGTGCAGATCTACTGAATCGATTTTTTTCGTCAAATTATTATTATTATAATTTTTTTTTTTGGACATAGATTCTAATTCTGCATTATATTTCTGCTAGGTCCCATTTATGTTAAAGTAGAGTTAAATAGATTTAGAATCTAGACTCTAGATCTACCTACACCTTATTGTAGATTATCTCAAATTAAGCTGTTAACTTGATTTTTTTCTTAAAGCATCGATATTTTTTCTAAAATCTTGTCTGAACTCTGTCAACATAGAGCCTTTTAATCAATTCCTATTACAATTTATTAAAACAGTTTTCTAAAATACGAAATAACGGCTAAATTTCGTTTTCTAACATTGCTTTTTTATAATGCAAAAATGTGATGTTATACCATCTGAACACCACCCCCTCTCCCTCATCAGTCATCACACACCGTCACAAAATTACGGACCCCCTCCCCCTATGAGTGTGACGTCATTTATGGACGACCCCTTAACTCACAATCATAGTCAGCTACCACACTGCAGTGTTTCTCAAACATGACAATATTTTCAAGATTATTTTTTTTTCGCCAATTTTGCAGCTTCGATAAAATAAAATGCCGGAGATTATTATGAAAAGAGATCATATTCGTTCATTTTCCATGAAGCTTTAGGTTAAGCTTATGTTGATGTTCGAATATATCTGCTGGTATGATACTCTCTCCAACTAGTCTTTGTCGTTAAAGTATATCAAAAGGTCTCGTTTCCCTTGCACTTCCTTAGACAACTTGCTTCATCTTTTAAATCAAAAGCTCGATTCACATTTTCTTTTGACAGCTAGCGTACTGTGGTATAGACAAGTGTGGGCCCTGCTAGGGGGGGGGGGGGATACCTACAATCTACCCTTCTAGGCTTAACTAATCTGTCCGGTCAGTGCAACCGTGGTAGAACCCACAGTGGTTAAACCCTAACCTTAGTCTAAATAATAAGCTACTAAAATAAAACAAAACTTTTAACAATTTAATAAAATTTATTGCATGGAACCAAAAGTTATAAAAAAAGAACAGATAAAAACTGACAAAACAGAACCAAACGAAACAAACTTTTTACATCAAACAAAACACCCAATTTCGGACTACGTCCAGGACTAAGACGAACACAAAATAAATACGACTGGATGGTGCGAATTTGCTATTCTTTTCACTGGATGACCAGAGAGACTGCCTGCTCTCTTCACCGCGGCTTTCCACACAAAAGACAGAGTTGAACAAGCCGGAAACCGACTTCCCCACACCTCACACACTACTCGTAAACAAATAGTCCCTAATTCACGGATAACAAACCAAACACGACGAAACATGCAACAGAATATTATAAAAAGACACTTAATATAAACAATGACAACAATATAAACGAAATATATATAAACTAGCTATAACCAGGGACATAAACAGTGAGACAGCGGCGCCATAATACGGGACTACACAACTAAAAATTACGAACAATTTACGACATGAAACGAAACGATACATTCGCCTTCTAAGTTACAAATAATAAAAATACACTCCAGCCGCTCACATACACGCCCCTTAAAGCTTGCGGTCACCGCAAGCTAACAAACTTGAAAAAAACAGCCCACCGGGCACAATCATAAATTTTACAAAAAAACAATCTTTGCCAGAAAATCAGCCCACAGGGCATAATCATATATGTTACAAAAAAAACAAAAAACTTTGCAAAAGAACTTGCAAAAAAATCAGCCCACAGGGCACAATCATAAATTTTACAAAAAAACACTGTCAAAAAAAATCAGCCCACAGGACACAATCACAAGTCTGGCCTACTAGGGACTCTGCGCTCCCTGACCGACCTACGCAGAGGTATGTCAGGTACTGTGGGGTTACCGGCTGCTCGGGCCCCCGGCAATTGGATCTTATAAATTATGTGGCTGTAGCCTGGAGTAGCCGGCGGTATCACTTTGACCGGCCTTGGGGAGGGTGGTTGAGCCCGGGGAGGCACATATCTCCTGATCTGGGTGCTGGCCACCCGGCGGGTGCCAGAAGGGCCATCTTTCTTTTTAATGGCGTAACACCCGCCGGTGATCGGAGGTACTTCGACCACGACGTAAACTGTCGGGTCGTCCAGGTCTGCCATTTTGCGTCTGCCTAGTGGGGGTTGTCTCAGAAGGACCAGATCGCCTATGGCCAGTTCAGCTACAGGTGCCTTTTTGACCTGCTTGTCCTTCTTGCTCGACTCTGTCTGGGGGCATCCCCCAGCACCACCACCCGGTGCCTTAATTAAGGATGGGTTAGGTGGAACCATTGCCTCTAGTTCCTCAGATTGGTCCACCTTTATACTGGTTATGCTGGCCTGTAGGCAGGATGTTGGGCCTGATACCACTGACGGATCTGGGTGAAAAGGTTGGTCTAATGGCTGTACCACCTTGTCGTCCTTCATTCCGGGGTCTCCTTCCGTCGCCTGAATGGTTGGTACACTCTTGGCAGACAACAGAGTCCTTTCGCGGGGGCGGAGGACATTGTCCCTTCGCCATACCTTCGGTGTCACCCCTGGAGGCTTGATCAGGTGGGCCAATGTGGTCAGGTCCTGGAGAACGTTCATGCCCAACAAACAGGGTGGAGCTGAGCCACCCACTGGATCCTTTATCACAAGGAACCCCTTGTCGCGTATTTCTTCCTTATTGACCTCCAGGTCAGTAAAAAAATAGCCACTGTATGGGATGGCCAAACCATTTGCTGCCCTCAGGGACAGGGGTGTGTCTGTTCTTAGGATAATGTTCTGGGGGCTACTGTTAAAAAATGTTTCAGTGACCGTGCTGACTTGTGAACCACTGTCTATAACGGCCGTCACCGGTACACCTTGTAAATACACAGTCAGGGTGGGGCACTGTCCAGCCAGCTTGTGAATGGTGGAGCTTGGGCTCAGCCCACCAGCAGTAGTAAGACTCTGAATCACTGCGGCCTCCTGCTTCTTTGAGTTTCGACAATTGCGGGCGAGGTGACCTTGCTGGTTACAATTGTAACACATTCTTGTTTCCGCCTCTGGGCGTCGGCGGGGTACCCTTCGGCTAGATGACACTTGAGGGTTCTGTGCCAACTGAGTCAACAGAGCCGATAGCTGCTCTGCGAGCTTGTCCACCCTGTCTTCCAGCTTAGACCTGGGCAGGGTGGGTTCTTCCTTGGGGCGGGCATGTAGAGCTGCCACATAGGCAGGTTCTGTCCCTGGGTCCTCGTCTCCAGACCATCGAATGGCCGCATCCCGTATGGCCAGGAAGGGGATCTTAGGGTCCCTGAAAACTAGTTCTTGCAACTGACGTCTGACTGAGGACTGGCTCAGCTTTTCCATAAACTGGTCCCTTAGGAACTCAGCATTCGTCTGAGGGACCTGCAGGGTGCCCTGTCTGGCAACAAGGGCCTTGAAGGCCCTGTGCAGGCGGTACGAGTAGGCCCTCACCGACTCGTGTTGGCCCTGCACAACCATTTGGAGTTGCGCCATTAGCTGGGAGACGCTCCTCTTCTCCCCATAGACTTCTCGGAGGAGCCTGATGGAGGCCTCTGGGTCACGTTGCAGGTCATCTCCCCTGCAGCTCAGTTCTTCTCTCACAGCTTCCCCCAGGTACTGCCAGAGAAGGTCCTTCCTCTCTTCCACTGAGACGTCTCTTCTGGCCCTCCAGAGAGACTGGACCTCGTCAATGAATCGTTCCACCTCATAGCCGTGGCTGTCCCCATGAAACTTCCGGATGAGGATCTCCCTGGGTGGAACGATGCTGATGGTTTGTGCCACCTCCGCCATCTCGTCCGAATTGGGTGTTAAGACTACAAACAATTCCTACACTAAACAAAAACTAAACACATATGGTTCCAAAAAGGGCCTATCAAAACAAAAAAATTTATCTAAGCTACACTAGCCCTAAAAGAAAAACAAAAAATTAACTAGACTAAAGCACTGACCCCACTCGTGCTACCAATTTGTGGGCCCTGCTAGGGGGGGGGATACCTACAATCTACCCTTCTAGGCTTAACTAATCTGTCCGGTCAGTGCAACCGTGGTAGAACCCACAGTGGTTAAACCCTAACCTTAGTCTAAATAATAAGCTACTAAAATAAAACAAAACTTTTAACAATTTAATAAAATTTATTGCATGGAACCAAAAGTTATAAAAAAAGAACAGATAAAAACTGACAAAACAGAACCAAACGAAACAAACTTTTTACATCAAACAAAACACCCAATTTCGGACTACGTCCAGGACTAAGACGAACACAAAATAAATACGACTGGATGGTGCGAATTTGCTATTCTTTTCACTGGATGACCAGAGAGACTGCCTGCTCTCTTCACCGCGGCTTTCCACACAAAAGACAGAGTTGAACAAGCCGGAAACCGACTTCCCCACACCTCACACACTACTCGTAAACAAATAGTCCCTAATTCACGGATAACAAACCAAACACGACGAAACATGCAACAGAATATTATAAAAAGACACTTAATATAAACAATGACAACAATATAAACGAAATATATATAAACTAGCTATAACCAGGGACATAAACAGTGAGACAGCGGCGCCATAATACGGGACTACACAACTAAAAATTACGAACAATTTACGACATGAAACGAAACGATACATTCGCCTTCTAAGTTACAAATAATAAAAATACACTCCAGCCGCTCACACAAGCAAAACCTAGTGATCAGAATTCATGTCTAAGCGCCATTTCAAAAAAAAAGTCGGGTTAGATGCCTGCAGTGTTTCTTCCAGACTTTTTTCTCGGGGGGGGGGGGGGGGGTACTTGATATTTTCGGGGGCGGTCAACATTTTCAGGGGGGTGGGGCGGACACTATTAAAAGTAAATTTTTACTATATAAATTCTATCTCGTTCGGAGGGGGGGGGTAGATGCCTGGAAGAAACTCTGGATGCCTGGAAGAAACTCTGCTGACGAGGGCATACAGTGGATTCCCGTTGGTTAGAAAGCTAAATTTTTACTTTTTTTTCTGACAGCCCGATTTTGACCCAAACATAGATGGCAAACAATTTCACTATCTTCAACATGCAGGGTTTGATGACATTTTCTCCTATTGTGTTTTTTTTTATATTGCTTGGCAATTTCTAATGCGACTGCATAGGATGCTTGCACTAATGCTGTGTTTCCTTGGTGAAAACATCCTGTTCGATCAAGTCTATGACGTTCGCAACTAGCTTTATGCCGACGAAAGAACTTCATATATTTTTTTATGTGTTTTGAATGACTCTTCTCAAAATGACGTTTTAGCTATATGAAGGTTTCATAGGCTCTAGAACAACTTTGCACAGTACGCATTGTTTCTTCTCTATTTTATTTTCATTGATGTTAGTAGAACCAAATTTAAGATATTCTTTTAAATATTTATGTTTGTTTTTTTCATTGCTAGGGTTTTGTCTACCATTTGGCGACCCTCCTCCCCTTCAGAAAGCCCTTGATCGCGACCCTGGGGTCGAGACCCCAACAGTTTGGGAACCCATGCATTAGAGCAAAACGCTTGTGATGCTATAAATAACTGCATAGGATGATAAGTCGTTGAAAGAGAATAATCTTTATCGTCAATAACTAAAGGTACATTTAAAAAAAAACTCTTTTTTTCAAGCTTAGTTGATTTTGCAGCAAAATATCGCTGTGTATGTAGCCACTTAGCCCAAGTATTGTACGTATCTTATATAGGCCCTATGTACCCTAATTAAAACACAATTAGCGCAGGATGGTTTATTTTTTTGTTATTACATACAGTAGCGTAGCGAGGGGGGGGGGGGGCGGGGGGGGGACATATGTCCCCGGGCGCCGACCTTAGGGGGCGCCAAAATGGGTTGGAAAAATAAATTGAAAGGTTCAGGGGGTGCAAATCGAAATCTCGAGGGGGGGGGGTGCAAATCGAAAGTTTGAGGGGGGGGGTGCAAATCGAAATCTGGGGGGTGCAAATCGAAAAGTTTGTCCCCGGGCGCCGGGAAGGGTCGCTACGCCTCTGATTACATATGATGGTAGGGTGGTAGAGAACAATTTATAGGCATCACATTGGGAGAGACTGGGTGACACGCACAGCCTATGCCAGTTCTGGAAAAGGTATTCAGTGGACACTCACGGGGAAACTAGAAGATCTGGAGTTTGCAGATGACCTTGCCTTACTCTCGCACAGGCTACAGGACATGCAAGAAAAAGTTGATGCATTAGGAGCCATCTCGCAGCGCATAGGTCTCAAGATCAACAAAGAAAAGACAGAAATGATGAGAATTAACAATAAACAGGAGGCTCCAGTGACAATAGACGGAAGACAGGTAAATGATGTGCAAGAGTTTGTCTACCTTGGCAGCAAGATCAGCAAAACGGGAGGCACAGAGGAGGACATACGCGCTAGAGTTAATAGAGCCCGCTGCGCTTTCACAGTCCTGCGACCCATATGGAAAATTCGGCCATCTCCATTACCACAAAAATTAGGATATTTAACTCTAATGTCAAGGCAGTTCTGCTGTATGGAGCAGAGACATGGAGAGTCTCCAAGGCAAGCACAGCAAAGATACAGACCCTCATGAATAGATGCCTTAGACAGATACTGAAACTGAGATGGCAGGACAAAGTGCCGAACTTGGAACTATGGAGGAAAGCTAGGCAGGAGCCTATTGGTGTGCAAATAAGAAGGAGGAAGTGGCGCTGGGTGGGTCACACACTGCGAAAGGCTCACACAAATGTTACACGCCAAGCGCTTGAGTGGAACCCTCAGGGAAAGCGGAAGAGAGGGCGCCCAAGACAGACCTGGAGGCGGAGTCTTCTTGAAGAACTGAAGCCAACAGGGATGTCTTGGGAGATGTCAAAATTAGCCGAGGATAGGAAGAAATGGAAGGAAATGGTGGAGGCCCTATGCTCCATAAGGAGCAAAGAGGACTAAGTGAAGTGACATTGGGAGAGGGAAGGGTGCGGTTCGCACCGGGTGGCGCCAATTTTAGGGGTAAACAAAATCGAAATTTTTAAAATGTACCATCAAAATGTTTTATCCATTAAAAGTAAAAAATAAATAAAAATAATTGTAGGGCAGGTGGTTGACACCAAATCGATATTGATAAATTATTTTAGGGGTCCGGCGAGCAGTAGCGTAGCGAGGGGGGGGGGGACATATGTCCCCGGGCGCCGACCTTAGGGGGCGCCAAAATGGGTTGGAAAAATAAATTGATAGGTTGAGGGGGGGGTGCAAATCGAAATCAATCGAAAGTTTAAGGGGGGGGGGGGTGCAAATCGAAATCTTGAGGGGGGGGTGCAAATCGAAAAGTCTGTCCCCGGGAAGGGTCGCTACGCCTCTGCCGGCGAGACCCTCAGTTATCGCACTGGGTGATAAGTACCCGACCTAGTGACGACACCGATCGGCATTATTTTATTTTAATGTATGTTATTTGAGTGATAGATTAGTAGTGTTGATCAGTTGTATTTTGAATGGTTACATTAGTAACAGACTACGGTTGAGGGTATATGTAACTGGGTTACATATGAGGGCGAAGGAGGCGGACTCTTGTGACGATGTAGAGTGTGACGAGGAAACTGTAATGTCACACTTTGGATTTTTAAATAGAAATCTGGTTATTTTTAAATTGAATTTGTTGCTTTCTTTTTGTCCCTTAAAAAAGATCAATGCGGCCAACATAATCTTGATCTCGATTTGCTTGTAAAATTCTCAAATAGGCCTGAGTTCTTTCAAATTAAGTAGACCCTGGATATGTATGTTATGTTAATCCCATACTATTTTTGAGGTCTATTAAACCTACTTTTAACAATATAATTTTTAGCGAAATGTTTTTTATTTAGTAGATTAATAGTCAGGATACATTTTCTAATGCAATCAGCAGTGTTTCCTCGTGATGTATGACTAATTATGTATGATGTATGACTGTAGATTGTAGATAGAAATAATAAAATCTAGATCTAGTCTAGTCTAGATCTAAAAATAGGTTCTTTTAAAATGTTTTATCGACGGTTCATGTCATGTGGAGTGTTAAAATAAAATAAAGGCCTCCTATAACAAATTTAAAACTGCATTTAGTAGCCTACGCATAGCCCAGTTATAGTTTTATAAATAAAAATAAACTACATAAATTACAAAATTCACTTTTAATTTTAAGCTTAAACTTGAATAATAAGCAAAAAATTAATTAGGTCATTAAGAACCTAGATCTATTTATAAATTAATTTGGGGAAATCCGTCTACAAAGAGGCTGATTAAATCACATGACGACAAAATGGAGACTATAATAACATGAATTGTAAACAGTATCAGTAGTCTTAGTTGGTGCAAACAAAAACTGAAAAGGAACTGTAATAAAATTCTCTCCTGGTCAAAGTGCACAGTAACATGGGCTGTGAAGCTTTGTTTAGTCTTTGGCGTAAATGGATTAGATTTGTAGTCATTCTTGTTTATGTAGTTTTATTAGTAATCGCCGTACCTCTGTGCATTTGGGAACTGGAGAAAAAAGGAGCACCAGATCACGTTCAAGCATGGTTTGTTGGAGGGATGTTTGTGCTTATGGCTTTGCCGATATCCTTTTGGGGAATACTTCAACATGTATTAAACTACACGACTCCCTATTTACAAAGACATATCATACGGTAAGTGGACTTAAATTAAATAATGTTAAATTTTAAAATATCTAACTGTTCTAACCATTATCATTATGATGAATGATGGCAATAGACTCTCAATAGAGGGGTAACACTAACAAAGTAACAAAGGTTGGTGGGTGAGTATTATAATTATATGCCATAGGCCTAGGTAAAATCACGATATAGCGTCGGTTATTATTCCGGAACTGTACAGCAGTAAAAAAACAGTAAAACCATGGGGTAGTCTGTCGAGCCGTTCCGGAAACCACCGGAAATACTGTAAACCATCATTTATTTGCCGCCATATTATTTTTAATACATAATGTTGAAAAATGTGCCAGGATTGATTTTAGTTGCAATTTAAATACTGTTTTGCTAATTATTTTGTATTTCTAATTATTTTAAGTGTATGTGCTAATTATTGCTGCTACTAAACATTATTCTAGTTATTCTTACTACTTTTAACTTTAGTAAATCTAATCGTCTTATTTACTAACAGAACTAGAGCTGGTTGTCGCAAATCTTCTGCAAGTTTTTTCTGTTTCTTAAAAAAAAATAATTAATTACTACACTCGACTTTATTAATAATATTTAGATTTACTAATCGTCTCTATTTTTTGTCAGTTAAACATTAAATTAAGTTAAAACATTAATTTAATGCACTTGACTTTATTTTTCTTTCAACGGTCAAATAAACTATGGTTTACAGTAACGAATGTTTCCGAAACTCAACGAACATTACCCAATAATTTCCGACGCTATATCGTGATTTTACCTAGGCCTATAATAATTTATATATAACGAGCCGACCCGCAGCGTATCATACGCTGCTATTTAGTTTTTTTTTTTCTACTTTTCAGTAATTTATAATTTGTGAATTCGACAGTACCAATGCTGCCACTGAAAATATTTGCTTAAAAACACTAAACCCCCTTCCCCCCCCCCCCCCCCCCCCCCACGTGAAAGCAGCCTCCTCTTAGTTACCTCCTCTAAGTTTAAAATCGTTTCAAACTAAATTATCTGCCCCTAATAGCCGTCACCAAACCCGTCTCTATGATTGTAAAATGTAAACAGAGTGAACACCGCTCACCAGATCATGTGGGGGGGGGGGGGGTGGGGGTGATAGTGATAGAGAGGAAGAGAGGGGACTGCAAAGGCGCGCTTGCAGCTTGTTTTCTAACTGATCCCAGAAGAGAATTATATATATAGATATATGGCATTATATATGCTATTGACTATTTGCATTGGTATTGGACTTTGTAGAAGTATGAACTATTATGTACTATGTACATAGTGTACTAGGTGGGCCAATCATATTTTATTAAAAAATTATTTTAGGCCTGGTCTTCTCTATGTTATAAATAAATTCAAATATTATTTCTACTATTTTATTTCTTCTCTAACAGTGTTTTATGGATGGTCCCAGTGTATGCCTTGAATGCGGTAAGTTTGATTGACTATAATTATAAGATCATTAGTGATAGTGACTAGCGATTTTTTTCTCACTCTGCATTTAAATTTAATATGCTCGTAATCACGTCACTAGTGAGAAAAAATTAAATTCGAATTTTGAAAAAAGAAAAAGCAAAGACATCCTTTCTTATGGTGTGGCCATCACATATTGTACCACTCTATCACACTGCATCATACCAAATTTGAAGTTTTTTGTTTAAGTGTATTATTATATTAAGATCCATTCTGACTGGGATTCAAAGGGACGACTCAAAATATCATCCAAAATCGCACCCTCTAGATTTTTGTCAGCAATGAAAATTCTTGTGAAAATTGCTAATGGATAATGATTAAAACAAATTTATACTCTATACTATACATATTGGCTTATAGGCTATAGATTTATTTAATATATTCTCTATAATATGCTTTACCCTTGCTTGTTATTTTACTCTGGCTACTTTATGTATTTTAGAAATAGCCTTTACGAAACATTTTATTAATGAAATCAACAGTATCATATCCTAATACACAGAGCGCATATTTTAGGCATAGTCTTAATATTGATTAATTATCATTTACAATCAGCACAATGCATTATTTAAAAAATATTTTTACAACAAATCAATATGACAAGAACTTTGGCTACCAGGTATTCTTAAAGTTGAAATGAAATTTTCTTCTTTTAGTGGTTTGCACTTAGATTTCCAGAAGCAGCCATTTACCTTGACACATTACGAGAATGTTATGAAGCTTATGTTATCTATAATTTCATGGCCTATTTGCTGTCATTCCTTTATCATGAATATCCTGACATAGATGAACAGGTAAATAGCTAAATATAATTCTATATTGATGTTTGTTGAATTAAGTTATCCATTTTTTAATTAGTTTGGTAGTTTAACAAATTAGTCTAAACAGAGAGTTTATTGTTGAATTTGAACACCAGAGAAATAAACACAGAGAATTTATTTTTGAACAATTCATATATTTTTTAGTGTAATAATAATTATTAAAAAATTGCTTTTTGTATAGCTGCTGAAATACATTTTTATTGTTCTTATATAAATACAGGCTTGGCATAATAACTGTTTTTCTAACTTCCTGTTTTAGGTTGAAAGTAAACCACCAATAAGTTTTCTTTTTCCCCTTTGTTTGCTGCCACCTTGCAGTGATGGGAGGTAAGTTTAGTGTATATACAGATTTTTAAATTGGTTTACAGGCAGATATATAAATAGTATTATTATCACTTCATAGGTGTGTAAAAATAAGTAAAAAATTCCTACTGCTGTTTTCCAGAAAGTTTATTCAGAGATGTAAACATGGTGTGCTGCAGTATACCATTGTCAGGCCTCTCATGACTATCATTGCATTGTAAGTAACACCTAACAGTTTGTTAAATATTTCATAATTTTAGTTCTATATGTGTGTCCACTTATTTGATTTTACTTTTTTTTATCTTTACATTTCTTTTCTTCATGGGAATATTTAATATATACAATGAAATGCTTTATGTTGTTTGTTTATGTTTTAAAACCCTACTTAAAACAGCATCTGTGAAATGTGTGACAAGTATGGAGAGGGAGACTTTAACTTTTCTACTGCCTGGTCTTATATTGTCATTATTGGCAATTTTTCACAAATTGTGAGTGTTTTTTTGTAAATAGAACTTGTTATATCCTCCATTATGTTTTATCAAACATTATAATCATAATATTTAGCTGTTGAGCTTTGATATTAATGCACTAAAACAACTGTGCTTGGTCTCTCTGACAGTTTGCTATGTACTGTTTAGTGCTGTTTTACAAAGCATTCCGACATGAACTGAAACCACTAAAGCCAGTACCCAAATTCCTTTGTGTTAAAGCTGTGGTTTTCTTGTCATTTTGGTAAGTTTTCTTATTATTTTGGTAAGTTTTCTTGTTATTTTAATGTTTTCTTATTATTTAGATACATTTCAACAATGGAAAGTAAAATGTTATGTAATTGTAGGGCTTTACCTATTGAAAATTAAATGTCTTTGGTCTGACAAATGTTAAATCAAGTGTTATAAAATATTTCTGCTAGGCAAGGTCTGTTTATAGCAGTCCTCACCAAAACTAATGTCATTCCTTCCAATGGTGCTTGGGTGTTCTACAAGGACATCAAACAGGTTTCAACAGGAATTCAGGTATGTTAATTCATTGCTCAATCATGAATGATTTGTAGGTAGAAGATTTTTTAAAATGCTTTTCAGTCGCATATGGAACATTATTTTTATTTATTTTAAGTCCAGTATTTAAAATTCATTTTCTTTTAGTAAAACAGTTTTATTGTAATAATTTTTGCAGGATTTTCTCATCTGCATTGAGATGTTTTTAGCTGCCATTGCCCACTATTTCTCATTTTCCCACAAACCATTTGTAAACATGGCAGCAGACCAGCAGGACTGTTGTTCTTCCTTCATGTCTATGTGGGACGTCAGGGATGTAACGGGGGACGTGGTGGAGCACGCCAAGTACATAGGTTTGTACTAACTAGCCTCCATCTAATAAAAAGAGACTTAAAAACAATAACTCCTATACATGTTCATCTTGGGTTTTTTAAATCAGAGATAAATGCTGTCATTATTCTAGTGAAGATGATGTATATCTTATGCCGACAAATCACTTGGTTAATGTTGTCATTATTATAGTGAAAATGGTTTAAATCACCTAGCGTTCGTAGCTACCTGCTGCATTTTTTAAAATCTAATTATCTTTTTCTCCTTAGCTGTGAACAAAAAAATGTGTAGCTATGCTTTATATTATTTTTTATATTCTTTAATTTTTTGTTTGATTGCGTCTTTGTGTTGTCAATGTGGGGCGGGTGGAGGAGGAGTGAGAAACAGAGCAGGTGCAGTCTAGCCTCATTTATAATACTTAAGTTTAAACATTATACATGTACATAATATATATATATATATATATATATATATATATATATATATATATATATATATATATATATATATATATATATATATATATATATATATATATCGTGTATTTTAAATTTGGCACAACAAATAATGGCAGGTTGTAAAAGTTTTATATTTATCTATATTTATCTTGCTGCTTATTCAAAGCAAATTCGAATGAAAAACTTTCCCAGGCAGGATAAGTTTCATTGAAGTAACAAGGGAAGTAACAAGCGCACACAATGTTGTCGCCCTTTGTTATAGGTTACGTGACGTTCTCGTGCAGTATCCCTCCCCGCCCCCATTCCCATGTAACCTCAAGGACAAAATTCCAAAGTCAGAACCCCCCCCCCTCCCCTCCTGTTTAGGGATCCGCAGTGTTGTGTTTTCCCTGCTGTTATTCCAACTTTTTTTTTTAATGGAGATTTTTATTTTTTCTGTACGGGTTTGTTTGTTTTGATAAAGGATGGAATGTGTGTTAGCATTAGCACTGTCCTAATTACACGACTATGTGTTAATCACCACATGAGAAGTGGGTCACTTTTTTTTTTAAATTACGTGCCCCTACCAGTAACCCATCTTGCATGTAATTCGTGTCACCGTTACGCCCCGCCCCTTAGAAAAGTCAGCCAAAGATTATCTACTTTTGTGTGCTCGTACAGATCTGCTTTATTCGCCTTTTTCAGGTCAAGGTTCCCCTGACCTACTTGATAGCAAACCACATCTTGGTATATTCGGCGATCGCCTCGGTGCCCACAGATGTCTGCTGCAAGAAAGTAAGTGCCGCTTTTCTACTTGGTTATCTAACTGCTGTCCTCGAGTCCGCTAACGTCCCCTGTCTCGCCATCGCCTCGTGCAAGGCGCGTTGAACTTTCGGTTAGTTAATTCATTGTATTGGACGGTATATTTAGTCGGCCACTAGGCGCGTGTTTACAGTGGCGCGCGCTGTTTACCGCGGGCCGCGTCTCTGTGTTGTGGTTGGATGTTACGTGTGGACGTGTTCACTAGACGGGGTACAGCGGTGACGGCTTCATCTACTCACCCCCATGGTATGTACTAATTTTTTTTTATCTCACGTGCCTGCGCGGTTTGTTTACATTTGCTCGTTCACCAATATGAACAGATTTTATGTTCATATTTAAATGAACCTTTATTTCTTGTAGAATACAGACTTTGTCCTATTGGTTTCGCAGGTTATTTTAAAAGCAATGTATATTTTATAAATATTTAAATACTACAACTAACTTTTGATTCCTAAAGTATTATGTAATACAGTAATATGCTTGTTACGTAACGCCAAGTATATTTGTTGGTGTCGATTATTCCTCGTCGTTTTATGGTCGTAAAATCAAGGAAACTGCATAGAAAACACGCCTTGATTTAAAGCTTTATGCTTTACTGATACTTTTATTCTAGATCTAGTTACATACAAATGTATTCTCAAACTAATACAATCCAAAATATTAAAGGTAGTTTTGGCTTAGGATTCTGTCTTCAAGTTCTAGTATTGCTATACTGTCTGTATGTGTCGTCAGTGTTTAAACAGAAGCATTAAGTTTATTCGCACCTGGGTAAAGTGCATCCTCGGTGTTGGTGTCAGGTCCAGCAAGACCTGCACGGTCTAAAGGTGTGTCTTCGCTCTGTCACACAACTCGCGTTAGCCTCGGGCAAAGATAACAAGAGATTAGGTGCAAGCATGCATAGCGGATGCACGCCTCGCTTCCGGCTACTGCTGTGTTACGTCATGGGAGGGGTGAATTTGGGGACAAAGGATGATAACTAGATGCTGGTCCCGTCCAGGGTGGTCACGTGGTGATGCAAATATGGTGCCCCGAATCGCGGGGTCGATAACATGCTTGTAGCATGAAGCCTAGTTTTGTCAACATGAGGCCTAGTTTTGTCAACATGAGGCCTAGTTTTGTCAACATGAGGCCTAGTTTTGTCAACATGAGGTCTAGTTTTGTCAACACGCGGCCTAGTTTTGTCAACATGAGGCCTAGTTTTGTCAACATGAGGCCTAATTTTGTCAACATGAAGCCTAGTTTTGTCATCATGAGGCCTAGTTTTGTCAACATAAGGCCTAGTTTTGTCAACATGAAGCCTAGTTTTGTCAACATGAGGCCTAATTTTGTCAACTTGAGGCCTAGTTTTGTCAACATGGGGCCTAGTTTTGTCAACATGAGGCCTAGTTTTGTCAACAAGAGGCCTAGTTTTGTCATCATGAGGCCTAGTTTTGTCAACATAAGGCCTAGTTTTGTCAACATGAAGCCTAGTTTGGTCAACATGAAGCCTAGTTTTGTCAAGTCAACGTGAGGCCTAGTTTTGTCAACATGAGGTCTAGTTTTGTCAACACGAGGCCTAGTTTTGTCAACATGAGGCCTAGTTTTGTCAACATGAGGCCTAATTTTGTCAACATGAAGCCTAGTTTTGTCATCATGAGGCCTAGTTTTGTCAACATGAGGCCTAATTTTGTCAACATGAAGCCTAGTTTTGTCATCATGAGGCCTAGTTTTGTCAACATAAGGCCTAGTTTTGTCAACATGAAGCCTAGTTTTGTGAACATGAGGCCTAATTTTGTCAACTTGAGGCCTAGTTTTGTCAACATGGGGCCTAGTTTTGTCAACATGAGGCCTAATTTTGTCAACTTGAGGCCTAGTTTTGTTAACATGGGGCCTAGTTTTGTCAACATGAGGCCTAGTTTTGTCAACAAGAGGCCTAGTTTTGTCATCATGAGGCCTAGTTTTGTCAACATAAGGCCTAGTTTTGTCAACATGAAGCCTAGTTTGGTCAACATGAAGCCTAGTTTTGTCAAGTCAACGTGAGGCCTAGTTTTGTCAACATGAGGCCTATTTTTGTCAACGTGAGGCCTAGTTTTGTCAACATGAGGCCTAGTTTTGTCAACATGAGACCTAGTTTTGTCAACATGAGACCTAGTTTTGTCAACATGAGACCTAGTTTTGTCAACATGAGACCTAGTTTTGTCAACATGAGGCCTATTTTTGTCAATATGTGGATAGTATCATCCACTGCAGGGTGTCATCCATTAAATGGTGTCGTCCACTGGATGGTGCCGTCCACTTCATGATGTCACCCACTAAATGGTGTCATCCATTAAATGGTGTCGTCTACTGGATGGTGTATTCCACTGCATGATGTCATCCACTAAATGGTGTCATCCACTGAATGGTGTCATCAACCAAATGGTGTCACCCACTGCATGGTGTCATCCAATGAATGGTGTCATCCACTGAATGGTGTCATCCACTGCATTGTATTTTGTCATCCCCTGCATGTCTATGTATAGCGATGCTGTGATCCGCTAGGATTAACGTGCATTAAAATACGTTGGCGTTGATGTATGTATGACAGAAAGGACTCGATATATTATTAGATGTACTTTTGTACGACTGCTCTACACATGCCAAAATAACGTGTCGAATTTTTAATGAGGTATCTTTACATTTACATTTTAAAATATGGACACGTCTTTGAAGATAGGGCCTCTGGTGTCTGAAATGGAGGACACGGAGAATGGGCTATGTATTTGTACTGGGATGGAATAAATTTGGGACATGCACTATGTTGCTACATTTTTCGTATGTGTTACTTCCCTAGTGTGGTGCTACATTTCCCGTATGTGGTGCTATACTGCCCTTATCTTGTGCTACATTTCCCTAATGTAATGCTACACCCCCCATGTGGCTCTACACTTCCCTAATGTGGTGCTACACTTCCCTAATGTGGTGCTACATTTCCCGTATGTGGTGATATAACTTCCCTAATGTAATGCTACATCCCCCTATCTTGCTCTATACTTCCCTAATATGGTGCTACATTTCCCCTACATGGCCCTATACTTCCCTAATATGGTGCTACATCTACCTATGTGGCGCCCAACGTGTAAACGGATAGCCGTGCTTTACCCCTTTCTCTTGAGGTAACTCCATTTGGACTGGGACCATTGTCTCCCCTTGCTGGTTCTCACCGCCATCAACACCACCGATATGGTGACGTAACGATTTCCGATGGACGGGTTAATTACTCTGCTTGTTAGTTTGACTAGGTGAGTACACGATCGTCCTAGCAGTGGCCATTTGCAAGCCGCCTATTTGTGGTAATTAGGGTGAGCGGCTGTTTAAAGCTGTTCGTTTATTGTGTGACTATGATCTGTAGTGTCAGACACGGTACGTGAAAGGGCATCTCTGTCAACACGTTGTGGTAGCCTGGTGGACTCGTGCAACAGATTGGGTTACCACAGTGTAGTGGAATTAGGACGAGGGTTGTAGTGTCAAAAATGATAATATCATTTTATTGTGGGGCTGTTCTATCTAAGGTTGTTTGTGTTTCTGGTTTTAATAGTGGGGTATCATACCTGGTTGTGTTATGGCAGAGTATCATACCTGGTTGTGTTATTGTGGAAGAAGAACTGGGATTGATTATTCTGAGTTGATCCCACATCTCTTCAACGATACCAATTACACGTTACCGCCGACAAAAGAGGGCTAATACAATAAGTTAACGATCATAGAGCCAAACGTAGTTTTTAAAAACCTCTGGTTTGTTTTCCCCGAGTGTCATTAGCACTTCTTGTACACTAGGATGGGGGGGGGGGGGGGGGGGGGGAAAGAGGGGGTTAGACAAATACCTGTACGTTGTTTTAATAACCCGGAAAATAAAGTCGGTCGGATGACATAGCTAGGCGGAGAAGAGACGGTGGAAAACAAAATGAGTGACAGACATATTTGATAGCATTTGCATAGTTGATAACATTTGCATATTTTTATTACTTTAACATATTTGATATCATTTACATATTTAATAACTTTTACATGGTATAGATATTTAATATCAACACTTTTTACGGTTCCTCATCTACAATAGCCTGTAATAACAAATTGATTTATGTACGGTACTGAGTCATTCATGGTATACCACATAGATCTAGCTAATAGTTGTTTCTATAAGTACTTTAAAAATATAACTATATGTTTAATTTTCTTTGGTAGTTATAAAACAAGACATCAACTGTCGATCGTGAAATTATGTTTCATGAATTCGTGTGGTACTCTTAAATCAGTCTTATAGCGACTGGCGAGACTGTGAGCCCACACGGGTTTCAAGGGTTATCTATGTAACAGTCCACCATTGTAGTCTTATACAGGGTTGATAAAGTACATTTTATGCAGGCGGATCTCTGTTATCTCTTATTTGTAACATCAGTGCTATCTCTGGCGGTACATGTAACCAGGTCTATGTACCCCAGTCCGATTGTCCCGGTAGCACCTGTCACAGTAACAATACCACCTGTGACACCTGTCACAGTAACAATACCACCTGTCACACCTTTCACAGTAACAATACCGTCTGGCACACCTGTTAGAAGTGTAACATGTTTTTCTAACATTACCGCCTGTCCTTACTTGTACCTGTTAATGTAACGGTACCGCCTGCCTTTACCTGTTATATTTATACCTCCTGTCATCTGTTGAGACGAGACCCTATCTTGCGTCATCGCTTGGTTCTGGTTCTTACTCGAGTGATAGGTATATTTCTGCAGTTGTTGCCTAGGTCACGTTACTGGTAGGTTGTTCGATTAGCAAACACGATAGTCACGCAGGCTTTTGTAGCACGCTGGTCACTTGGTATGTCCAGCCCGAAGCTCAGTTGAATACATGATGACTAAATCGCTTAGTTTAGTATAGGTTTAAAATGTGGCGTCTTGATATGATAGCTCTGTCGACAATTTGATGTCATAGTTGTAAGCAACCGATTGTCCGAGTTTATTATGGTCCTACTTGCGTTACGAAGTTAAAACCTTAACAAGTGTTAATTTTTGTTCAAATTGTTCACACTTAGCAACAGCACCACCTACTGTGACACAATCCATGTACTGTGTTCGCATACGAGTGTGTGTGTTCAGATGTTGCACCGTGTGTTCAGATGTTGCGCGGTGTGTTCAGATGTTGCGCGGTGTGTTCAGATGTTGCGCGGTGTGTTCAGATGTTGCGCGGTGTGTTCAGATGTTGCGCGGTGTGTTCAGATGTTGCGCGGTGTGTTCAGATGTTGCGCGGTGTGTTCAGATGTTGCGCGGTGTGTTCAGATGTTGCGCGGTGTGTTCAGATGATGCGCGGTGTGTTCAGATGATGCGCGGTGTGTTCAGATGATGCACGAGTGTAGAAACAGATTTTGTTGTGTTCTCCATCGTCCGTGTAATATCTGGGTACCCATGTCCGAATCAGGCCATAGCACGTCGTTATCGACCCTCGGCTATCACGTCCCATATCGTCTGTCGTCCTGGCTTAGCTTTATAAGACCAATTGTCTGTGGTGCTTCAAGAAATAATACCGGGCTGAAAAGCAATGTATATCAATGATCATTTGAAGGTTCTTTATCTCTTTGACATCGGGTCGGAGTTGATCTGGTAGATTGTAATGAGACGAAATGGTTGATTCACCACCTGTGGCTGGTTTATTTGTTAAGGCTGTATTACAGACTGCCCTCTGACATTGGTCAAGGCTGTATTACAGACTGCCCTCTGACATTGACCTTAGGTCAAGGCTGTATTACAGACTACCCTCTGGCATTGGTCAATACAGTATTACAGAATGACCTCTGACATTGCCCATTGGTCAAGGCTGTATTATAGACTGCCCTCTGTAATTGGTCAGGATTGTATCATTGACTGTTGCTGGTCAGGGCTGTATCACTGACTACCCCTACCGTTGGTCAGGATAAGTATCACTAACAACTTGATATTCTTTCATGAAATGGCCTCGACCAAGAGTGGTACATAGAATTTCATTATCTATGCCCCCACGGTCTTGTGTCCCTCCCGCCACCTTCGCCCCCCCCCCCCATCTGTAATGAAATGTGACCATTGTTTACACTGACATATGACCGGAACTATAAAAACGTCACATCAGCTGTCTGCTCGCTGGAAACATTCCACGGTTTGGCAGAGTGACGGGCCTTGATCCAGGCGCTTGATTGAGTGTGGCGGCTTGCATGTTCGTGTTTTAATTAACAGAGTTCTGACAGTATTTGTGTGGGACCGCTGGAAATCTCCGTGCTATGTAGCACTGACCCCGCGGGCCTGTCTGGAGACATATGACACGTAACCTTGAGCCCTGGAGACATTCATGTCTGCCTAAGTTAAATAACGTCAAAATATACAGGTGTGACATGTAACCTTGAACCCTGGAGACATATGTCATGTGACCTTGTACACGTTACCTTGGAAGCTGTTTAAAAAAATAAAGGCAATGAATGTTTCACTTTCGTTTTAAACCAGCATCATGACATGTCCATCTGAGACTGCATGTGGTCTGTGTGTACGTCCCCCCTCACAGAACTGGACACTAGTGTAAGTAGCTATACATCTCTAGTCCTTGGTTACCTCTATAAACTTATCCATCCAGACCTATTGTTAATCTCACGCCACATTCACCTCCTACACACATTGATCTAAACAAAAGCATGCCAAAAAATTGGCCAGGGTCTGGCTATGGGGGAAGTTGATGAGGAGCAGATCGCCGGCAGAACCCCCACCGTTCATTGATTCTATTCATGTATCCTGCCGCTCGGCTGTTCAGGCGGGAGGTGCACGGAACAGCGGTGTACACAGAAATACTCGGCCATGTTAATGTGCCAGAAATAGCTCGCGAGTGCAGAGCAATTAAAGAAATGGAAACGTGCTGGAGGTCAAGGTTAAGTTCGGGAGAGTTGAGAGATACCACTCTGAAAGTCGTGTTGTGAGATACCACTTTGAGTAGTGCGGTGGTTCAAATACTAGATGTCGTGTTGTGAGATACCACCTTTAGTAGCGCATTGTTCAAATACTAGATGTCGTGTTGTGAGATACCACCTTTAGTAGCGCGGTGGCTCAAATACTAGATGTCGTGTTGTGAGATACCACCTTTAGTAGCGCGGTGGTTCAAATACTAGATGTCGTGAGATACCACCTTTAGTAGCGCGGTGGTACAAATACTAGATGTTATGAGATACCACCTTTAGTAGCTCGGTGGTTCAAATACTAGATGTCGTGTTGTGAGATACCACCTTTAGTAGCGCGGTGGCTCAAATACTAGATGTCGTGTTGTGAGATACCACCTTTAGTAGCGCGGTGGTTCAAATACTAGATGTCGTGAGATACCACCTTTAGTAGCGCGGTGGTTCAAATACTAGATGTTATGAGATACCACCTTTAGTAGCGCTGTGGTTCAAATACTAGATGTCGTGAGATACCACCTTTAGTAGCGCGGTGTTCAACAGTTGCTGAGATCACTTGAGTTACTGATCAGCGCTGGAGGGGACGAGATAAGACTGCTACAAACTGTTGTTGACCTGATATCGAAACGTTTCTGTAGTACCTAGAGGGGGGGGGGGGAGGGGTGAGAGGAATGAATTCATTACGTCGTGGTAGTGACCATGGCGATCTGTTAAGTTCTTTGTTTTTTTTACTAGCCCTTCACACGACTGTATCGTTGTTTGGAAAGGACGTATCTAATGACTTGCCATGCAGAAAAGTGTTATGTAAACTTGGCCTACATTAACTTATGCCTTCGTGTTTTATAAGGTGCACGGTTCCCAATACGACCCCCCCCCCCCCTCCCGCACACAGACCAAAGCCCCAAACAATATCAAGCTGAAATATCTTCAACACCAACATTGTAGGGCTCTAGTACTCGTGCTGACCCTCCCGTTTTGTGTGTAGTCTACGTGTTAGAAGTGCTCACGCCGAACGAGATTCGACGGTTTCTGTGATGTCGTGTTTGTAGCTGGACAATTTGAGGTCATTGACCCTGGACAATTTGATGTCACTGGCCACTTCTCATCAGATGTATCAGGTCACGTGACAGTTACACTTGGGACATATAACTTATCGATGGACAATTATGCGGGGTTGGGGGGGGGGGATTACAAATAAATCGTGGTCAAAACGAATCACGTAATCTACATTGCAGCAAATTTCACTCTAAATGTGTCAGCTGTGTACTACGTTGACCCTTTTGTCCGACTTCATATTCCGGTCACTCTATGTGGTCAGGTCCAAATTGTATTCAGGTCCGGGTCCATTTTGTTTCTGTCTCCATCTACCCCTCAATACCCACTCAAGGCCAGAAACATAGATGCTGTTGAATCTTTTCACGTTAATTAACCTAATTCAGGCATATGTTTAGCTTAGTGGTAAACATAACAGTAAGCTAAACGTAACATAATAAACTGGGCATATGTAGATAACTCAAAATATTGTATTTTCTTTGAGGCGAGCTTCCTGTTGATTTTTGAACTTGCGACTGTAAAATACGACTGTAACTGTTTTTTTAATGTTTTAGTTTTAACTTTTTTTCTTATTGAAAATGTTACGATGTAGTTGCGCATAAAACATACCTTTTTGTTTTGGCTTTTTATCAAACATTGCATATTACCAGAAGTATTAATTACATCACATATGTATTTAAAAATGAATTCTAGAACATTTAGTTTTATGTTCACGTATTTCAATAACACTGAAAACAAATCATAACATATTTAAACTCCCCCTCGAGATTCCAACCGTCTCTGCTCCACAGATTCTTTTTTTACTTTTACTTATTCATTGGACACATCACCAAAAAACGATTATAGTTTTTACAGTGCGTATAAGGATAGCGTTAAACAAACGATATGTTGGGGAAGTCCTGAGTCATGTTGCCGGGAACTGTATAAAGTAAATATTTAGACCCACGGGCAGGCACCTCTGGTAGACACCACCCTGCCGTCTGTGTGGGACTTAGTGAATTCATGCGTGCTGGTAGTCAGACGGCACTGCCATGCTTGGCTTGTGTATTCTATCACTAGACTCTTATGGTTCATGGTGGACAACCAAATGCAGGCTTGTAAGTCTTCAGCTTTCTACCTTAAGTATTTAGAGCTCAGTGATATCGTTAAAATAATTCTACTACAAATTGACTTAACTTGGTCCTATTTGCTCCTTGAGTTATTGAATTATTTCCATTTGTTTTTTCTTTGCACCTGGACATCCGAAACAAATGTCAGCCCTGTTTTCTAAGCACAGTGAAGTGGAGCATTACGTAATCTGCAAGTCTAATGGTGATTACATAGCCCTAATCACGCCGCTGCTAAAATTAGAGGACAACAACGTTCTCACGTGACTTTTGATTTCTGCATCAGTGACAGTTAATGCCAGCCAAGCGTTCGCGTCTTAATGTTGTCGTCTGCTGATTTAATGAGCCGTTTGGTCATATCCAGAAGCTCTCGCGGAATTTTCCTGATATTACCAAGTGGTAGATCGTTTGTGCCGCCGTTAAGAAGTGAAGAAAGAGAGCTCAAGTGGGCTAAGCAGGTCAAGAACCGTGCTGTTGTCAGGACACTTTAACTCCTGATGTAGGCATGGGGCTTCCTTCGACTGATAAACACGGCACTCCACCAGTTTTATATCTCTTTCTCTCCCCTGATTTCTCTCCCCTCTATTACTCCCCCTTATCCCATCTCAACGCCAAATATAACCTCCCCGCCCACCACGAAATAATTATGATTTCTGATTTTTCGGACATATTGATTTTTTTTCTAAACCTGGCTAAATAGGAACCAACGCTATATTTGGGATAAGATTTCATTGCACTGGGTAGCTATATTTAGCTACAATGTAGTAATTTCATGTTGTCCTTTTCAGGCGAATACCACCTAAACAATGATAACATGGAATACCACCTTCAGCTGGAGTTGTGGCGTGGAAACATCGCGGGGGCCGTGCAGATCGCCAGACAAAGGAACGAGTTATCTGATTGGATTGTAGCGATGGCCCCGCTTGGTAGGTGGACCGTTAGATTATATCGTCTTTCTCTCACCTCCCCACACATATATAATATAATCTTCATCATATATCCCACACACATATCATATCGTCTTCCTCTTACCTCTCCACCCACATACATCATATAATCTTCATAAAATCTCTCACCCACATAAAAATTATAAAATCTTCGTCACATATCCCGCACACATATCATAACGTCTTCTTCATATCTCCCCACACACATACATCATAAAATCTACCTCACACCCCCACCCACATATACCGTATTCCTAATATCGCCCACCCTCACACATATTGTCTTCCTCACTCCTCCAGCCCATAATGATATCGACTTTATACGACAAAGTACTTCACATCGTGCCCCCCCCCCCCGTTACACATCACCCCGACCTCTACCCCCCCCCCCCCCCAGTATATCCTACCGTCCAACCCTCCCACCCCCAGTAGACCTACATCATATTGTTTACTCCCCCACGCCAGTGTACGGCCATTGTTAGATCTACGAACCCTAGCAAGACGTACGTTAAGCCTCCCATTTGAATACAACAAGCCTCCCATTAGCATACTGTTATGAACCCCACAAGCGGGCTGTACATTGTATTTGACCTCTCACTATTGTCGTGTACCTCTTGTTTACCTCTGGGGCTTGGTTTCATTTATTCATCAAGCGATTCCATTGTATGTTGTAACAGTAGACTAAATACACAATATTGTATTGCATGTCATTTAATGCTGTAGATCCACAGAAGTCAGCCTTGTGTTTGGTTGTGCTTTTGTACACGTCGTGTTGAGCAAGACTTGAACATTCGTTTTCTCTCAGTAAATACAGCTTTCTGCTCAGTAAAACTTCTTACTTGTGGTGGTATTGTACTCTTAGGCTCTTTCTTTTGACACCCTACTTCCATTTCTGGTTGAGAACCACTGTTAGATAGTAGGGTGACACTTGTGGATGGTTATAGGTGGTATCTTTAGATGGACATGGAGGTACCTGTAGATGGACATGGATGCACCTATGGATGGACATATATGCACCTGTAGATGGACATGTATGCACCTGTAGATGGACATGTATGCACCTGTAGATGGACATGTATGCACCTGTGGATGGACATGTATGCACCTGTGGATGGACATATATGCACCTGTAGATGGACATGTATGCACCTGTTGATGGACATGTATGCACCTGTAGATGGACATGTATGCACCTGTGGATGGACATGGAGGCACCTGTAGATGGACATGGATGCACCTGTGGATGGACATGTATGCACCTGTGGATGGACATGGAGGCACCTGTAGATGGACATGGATGCACCTGTGGATGGACATGTATGCACCCGTAGATCATATAGATGGACATGGAGGCACCTGTGGATGAACATGGAGGCACCTGTAGATGGACATGGAGGCACCTGTGGATGGACATGGAGGCACCTGTAGATGGACATGTATGCACCCGTAGATCATATAGATGGACAAGGAGGCACCTGTAGAAGGACTAAGAGGCACCTGTAGATCATATAGATGGACATGGAGACACCTGTAGATTGCCATGTATGCACCTGTAGATGGACATGGGGACACCTGTAGATCATATAGATGGACAAGGAGGCACCTGTAGAAGGACTAAGAGGTACCTGTACATAGCCATAGATGGACGCTGGACATGACCTATGTAGTGGAGCAGATACCATACACACCGCCTGTTTGCAGCACCTACAGGTTTTGAACCAAGTCTACTGGGTAAAATTATGACGGACCCCACACGCGTGGGACGTAATACACCTGAGATGACGTCAGATTCAGTTATTTCTACATGAAACTAGAATAATATCAACACGCAGGTATCGCTTTTATCTTATCGATGAAAGAAAATTCGAAAGATTCGGCAGTTATTTGAACCTTTTTTTAGCGCTGTCTCGGTAATTATGTAGGAAACGTTTGACAAAATTTCATTTGTACGTCATGTTGACTAAACAAAAATCGGCGTTTTATTTTGTACTCAACAATGGGAAGTTGCTGACGGTTGCGAAATATTACCTGTGTGATGATATCACACCCACCTCACAGCCACCTCACATCCACCTCACATCCACCTCACATCTACCTCACATCCACCTCACATCCACCTCACACCCACCTTACACCCACCTTACACCCACCTCACACCCACCTTACACCCACCTCACAGCCACCACACCCACCTTACACCCACATCACATCCACCTCACAACCACTTACAACCACCTCACATCCACCTCACAGACATCTTACACCCACCTCACATCCACCTTACACCCACCTCACACCCAGCTTACACCCACCTCACAGCCACCTTACACCCATCTCTCAATCACCACCGGTAGGGAACTCGCTCTGTATGCAGAGAATTATATACAGTGTTCTCTCCCCTGCGGGTTATCCACAAGGCTGGATGTTGTGGTTTTGGCTCATGTTTTATGTACGCTCACACGGTGCAACCGTACCACCTGGCACGTCCCACCCGCTGGTTTTGTTTTGTGTCCATTGATAAACTGATTACTGTAAACACTTAGTTAAGTGCTAGGTCCATTGATAAACTGATAACTGTAAACACTTAGTTAAGTGCTAGCTACATACAGGAAGTTTTGTGTCCATTGATAAACTGATCACTGTAAACACTTAGTTAAGTGCTAGCTACATACGGGAAGTTTTGTGTCCATTGATAAACTGATCACTGTAAACACTTAGTTAAGTGCTAGGTCCATTGATAAACTGATAACTGTAAAAACTTAGTTCAGTGCTAGGTCCATTGATAAACTGATCACTGTAAACACTTAGTTAAGTGCTAGGTCCATTGATAAACTGATAACTGTAAACACTTAGTTCAGTGCTAGGTCCATTGATAAACTGATAACTGTAAAAACTTAGTTCAGTGCTAGGTCCATTGATAAACTGATTACTGTAAACACTTAGTTGAGTGCTAGGTCCATTGATAAACTGATAACTGTAAACACTTAGTTGAGTGCTAGGTCCATTGATAAACTGATAACTGTAAACACTAAGTTGAGTGCTAGGTCCATTGATAAACTGATAACTGTAAACACTAAGTTGAGTGCTAGGTCCATTGATAAACTGATAACTGTAAACACTTAGTTAAGTGCTAGCTACATACGGGAAGTTTTGTGTCCATTGATAAACTGATAACTGTAAACACTTAGTTGAGTGCTAGCTACATACGGGAACAATATAATTGTAGTTTTTGCTGAAAACCTTTAAACGCTAATATAAATCATAGTCTGTTTAATATGTGCTCAGAGTTTCTTGCCGGCATCTCTTGTCGCATCCACCCCCCCCCCCCCCCCAAAATGTAAGTACTCTGTGACCCCCTTCCGTCGTAGCCAGTTTTTTCTACCCTAACCGTAAACCTTCCCTTATTATGATCCTTATTGCTGACATAACAGCCATACATACTATCAGGGAAAAGCAACTCGATGCGAAACCGGCCCATTGTAAATGAGCAGCCGCTAAATGTTGTAACATTGTTGTTATTGCAAGTAACATTGTTATATAACTGTAAGCAAAATCCTGTATCTTAACATCAAAGTAATAAATGATGTTTTATTTGATCCCTTTATGTGAATCATTAGCACACGAATTCGGCATCTTTGTCCACGACAGCATACCGTAGAATGGCTGGCCAATTAGTATTTCAGGCCATGACGGCCTACCGTAGCTTCCACACTGAGTTGTTATTGAAAGCCCACCAAAGCACTCCTTGTGGATTTGATTAGTTTTCTTTAATCGTCAGGTAAAAACAATTACATCGAGGGCGGGAGCGAAAACACGTGACGTCATGTCTCGGGTGCGAGCTCTTGATTGGTCAGTTTGTACTGAGAATGTTAAGGAGTCTCTTTGATAGACTGTTTGGTTTGTGGTTTGTTTTTTTTTTGTTTGGTGAAAAAAAAAATTCGAACCATTCACAAAGTCCAGTTATTTTTAAACTATGTTGTAAACAGGATCACGTGACGAAGCCTGGGCCGGCTACCAACAGTCACGAACAGAGCCGGTGGTTCGCCATCGCACGTGATCTTAGGAGACCTACCATCTTTTAAAATAATTAGCGGATGTCACGTGGTTTCATCAAAACGGACTATATTATACTATATCTGACAACAGATTTAGATCTATCGTTATAAAATCTATCACTAGTGTTACCATATTTCGCCTTGCTTTTAAAGCTTCTAGAACATGTTGATTTTATCACGCAATAATTGCCTTAAAAATAAATAAGCAGTCAGCAAGAACCAAAGGCGATGAACTAGCTGAGATGGAGCCCCAAAATTACCCGTCTTTCAATACTACAATGAGGAAACTAATGGGTTCTTTGGCTAGTATGATAATAATTAGCTTCGTTTTCTCGCAGAAATTATTCCAGTTTTTCACCCCACTTGCTACAAGATTCTGATTGATGAATAGAAACTTCCCTATCCTGAATATTGAATAATGGTTTTATTATGTCAGAATATGAGCTCCAGTTGTGTCAAAATACTCTAGACTTGTTTGGAATAAAGCTGTTTAGTTGGTAAGGCTTATTTCCTCTCCACTTGTAAGCTAACAACAAAAGATCTATGGGCATAAACCACTATGTTGGCGAAGGAAGAATGGTGCTTGTGATTGTTTACACCAGATCCTGAATAAACAAACCGCCATCTTGTAGGAGCACTGGCTCGTGTCCTGGCTCTGGCTGAGGTCATGGACACGCTTCATTGATTCCACATCTATGGGCCATCTTAGCTTAGGGCTATGTAGGCTCTGGAACCACTTGTATTGATCAGCCGCTAAACGTGATCGTCTGCCGCTAAACGTGATCGTCTGCCGCTAAACGTGATCGTCAGCCGCGGTATCTCAGATCTCTTGCTGTAGGCTACATCCTGTTTACCGGTTAAACAGCGCTCCAAACAGCACCCTGAATAGAACAGCGTCCTCACACAACAGCACCCTGTATAGAA